AAAAGCTTAAAATCAATTGTGCCTACAGTACTTTAACATTAATCGAAATGGTTAGGTACGATCCCAGCGATCCCTTTTTCTAGGGAATGATTTGGATACTGATCTTTGAGTAGTTTTCAGTGTGATGCTTGCTGCGACGTGGTGAAGAAGCCAAAGTTAGATCAACATAGACAGCGCTGCTGGGCAACATTCACATGCATTGACTGTTCAACTACTTTTCAAAACAACGACTACAAGTCCCATACTTCATGTATCAGCGAAGCCGAGAAATATGAAAAGTCAGTATACAAAGGTCCAAAGAAGGTAAGTCAATGGGAGGTTTAGGTTCAAGAAGCGAATTAAAATGCGATGTGGACCTAGGAAAGGTGAAGAAGACTGACATATGTTGCCGGCTTTGTAGGGTCAGAATGGTAATGGCAACAACCAAAAGAATTCAAGCCAAACTGTGAAGCCTGCCTCTCAGCCCCAATCTATCATTGCTGAAATTCAGGACAAGAAGAAGGAGCCATCAGCAGACAAGAAGAAGGATAAAAAGAGAAAGAAGGAGGAGTCTTCGTCTTCATCTTCTTCATCATCCAGTGAAAGTGAAGAGGAGGAGGAAAAGCCAAAGAAAAAGAAGAAATTGACAGTTTGGAGTGACAAGGAACTGAGTGAAGATCTAGGTGATAACATTTTATTGGCCATCCCCGCTGTTGTTGCAAAGGTAGGTCTCTAAAAAAAGATTACATCTCCACTCAGCTATCGTGATCCAAACTCATTGTTCTTCCATCTTTACAGGGCTCTGATTTGGTGTTGAAGGATGTCAAAAAGAAGGTTGTGAAGAAAATCACGTCGCATCCCAAAAACAAGGCCAAGAAGGATGATATCAAGGAAGCGTTTGAAGGATTGAAGGTTGTTGTTGATAAAGATGGTAGAATTTGCATACAATAGTCCACTCGTTTTACACTGTATATTATGCATAGAATAATCCCGACATGGTACAATACAACCGATAAAATTCTCCATCAGGCAAACGAGCCTTTCAATTTGCTCGAGCAAGGGTTGAGACCGATTCGAACGCCGCCCGATAATCTCTGTATGTTATTATAATTTTTTTTTTTTCATTCTGACTTTTGAGTAAAAGCGTCGTGTCGAGTTTCCTATCCGATCACTCCTTTACCTTATCCACAAGCGCTTGTTTTCTATCATGCAGAGAGCTTCTCAAGTCCTTAGAGGTAAGCGTACAATCAGTTTCATTGTGTTTGCCCCTGACCCTTGTCAGTATACCATAAAAGGTGATTAGTGTTCAGAAACCTAACATGCTGTTCATTTCGTTCATGCCATCTAGTGTCTACTGTTGGAACTGCCCAACGAGGCTTGACTGCCGCACCCCGTCTTGTTCAGCAGCGTTTGGCTTCCACCGTTGCTGGTGCATCTCCTAAGCGCGGCAAATGGCAAACTTTCAAGTCTGTTGTCAAGTACGGCACGGTCGGCGCTGTTGGTTATGGTCTTTACAGTAAGTTTGCTTGATAAGAGCTACTAAGCTTTACTTCACGATATTAAATATGGCCAACTTAGGTATGTATCACCAACGTTTCCCCGGCGAACAGCTCCCATTTGATGCTTCCAAGCGCACCATTGTGGTTTTGGGTAGCGGATGGGCTTCTACTTCCTTCCTCAAGTCCATTGATACCGAACAGTACAATGTCGTAAGTTTGCATTTTTCACATGCCTGATATTTCATTATGGGTTTGTGACATTAATCATACATCACATAGGTGGTTGTTTCTCCCCGTAACTACTTCTTGTTCACTCCTTTGTTGCCCAGTTGTACTGTCGGTACCATTGATGTTAGATCCATCGTTGAGCCTACCCGTTTCATTACCCGCCACAAGTCTCGCGAAGTCAAGGTCTATGAGGCTGAGTGTACCGAGATTGACCCCGTCAAGAAGACCATTACCATTGCTGGTATGTATTTTGGCCTTCATTCCGATATGTTTTAGCACAGTCACTGACATGTGCGAATTTTCTGTTTAGACAATTCCGAAATTAAGGGTGATTCTGCCCAAGCAACTCTTGAATATGATTATTTGGTCATTGGTACTGGTGCTACCAACCAAACCTTTGGTATCAAGGGTGTTGAGGAGCATGCATGCTTCTTGAAGGAGGTCTGGGATGCTCAAAAGATCCGTACCAAGGTCATGGACTGCATTGAGACTGCAGCTTTCCCCGGTCAAGCTGAAGAGGAAATTGAGCGCTTGTTGCATATGGTCGTTGTTGGTGGTGGTCCCACTGGTATCGAATATGCTGCCGAACTTCACGATTTCCTCAAGGAAGATCTTGCTTCCTGGTATCCTGGTACGTATAAATGAACTGATAACATGCATTATTACAATGGAATCTCGCAGCTAACATGCACTGTCTTTTTTTTTTTTTTAAGAACTTGCTGAGAAGATCAAGATTACTCTTGTTGAAGCTCTTCCCAACGTCCTCCCTGCTTTCTCCAAGCAATTGATCGATTACACTGAAACCACCTTCAAGGAACAGAACATCACCATCCATACCAAGACTATGGTGAAGGAAGTCAAGGAGAAGGAAATTATCGTTCAGCAAGCTGATGGTACTAAGGCTAACATTCCTTATGGTTTGTTGGTTTGGGCTACTGGTAACACCGTCCGCCCCGTTATCCGTAACTTGATGGCTAAGTTGCCTGAACACCAAACTGTTCGTCGTGGTTTGGCTGTTGACGATTGGCTCCAATTGAACGGAACTGAGGGTATCTATGCTCTCGGTGATGCTTCTGCCACCAAGTACGCCCCTACTGCTCAAGTTGCATCTCAACAAGGTAAATACCTTGCTCGCCTCTTTGGTCAGCTCGCTGTTTGCGATAAGATGGAGGAGGAGCTCAAGACTCTGGAGGATGGCGATGAGAAGGAGAAGAAGGCTCGCAAGTTGCAAAAGGCCAAATCCATCAAGCCTTTCGAATACACTCACCAAGGTTCATTGGCGTAAGTTGAATTCATGTTCGTGCTAGGTTGGGGCAGAGGTAAAATATATGACTAACCCTGTCCGTTTGGGGTTGATCTCACAGCTACATTGGATCTGACCGTGCTATTGCTGATTTGCCCTTCGGTGGCGGTAATGTCGCATCCGGTGGTGTCGGTAAGTTATCTCTTTGACAAAAGTCGTACCTGCTTCATGCATGTTACTGATGTTGCTCTGTTTAGCCACTTTCTTGTTCTGGCGCTCCGCTTATCTTTCCAACCTCTTCTCTGGCCGTAACCGATCACTCGTTGTCACTGACTGGATCAAGAAGAACATTCTCGGTCGCGATATCTCCAGAGAATAAGATTCATTCCCTTATGCCCTCATGCTAAAACCATTCATCATAGACAGATGGTAACGCTTATAATGACATAGTATTACATTGCTCGTCTTTCCTTTTTCATATTTGTATTTATTTATCAGCATCAATAGAGAATCATTTCTTTTTCCCATAACAAATTTCTATCGTACAAGTTTATTGACACACCGTCAAGTGTTCTTCCAGGCCAAAAAAGTAGTTCACATAAATAATAAGGGGAAAGCATTATATAGATGGCGTGGGTGGAGAGTTAAGAACAAAACAGTCTATAATGGTACATCTGGAAGCCAATCGAGACAATAGCAAACGCAAACGTTTACTCGGCGTCTTCCTCTTCATCTTCGTCTTCAAGACCACCTTCTTCATCTTCATCGAGATCATCTTCATTTGCCTTTCGATGGATGAGAGGCTTGATGAGTCGGTCAAAGTAAGGATGTTCTTTTGGAGGGTTCTGTTGCTTGACTTGAGCAAAGTAATGGACGTAAACATCACCATCCTTGCGACCGAGAGGACTGTTGACAATGTAGTCAGAGTAGTTGAATGCATCAACCAGAGGAATAGCTTGATCACGGACGATCTTGCAAAGGCCGTTGACCTTGGATCGAATAAAGCTAATTTGAGCAGGAGAGAAGTATTCATATTGCAAGAAAGCGCCGGCATTATCTTCAATGGTATAGAGACCGTAAAGGTAGCAGACATCGATCAACACCTTGCGCAAATCTTCGGAGGCCTTGGAGATACCGTCGACGAAGCGCTTGAAGAGGTATCCATAAGAGTGAAGCTTGGCAGCATAAAGACGAGATTGTGAGCATTGTTCATATGCTTCATCAACATCAACGCCTCGCTTGACGCAGCCATCGAATTCTTCCGCAGCTTGCTGAACGGCATTGGCACAAACCACATCCCAGGCTTCGGTAATGACTTGAACGGAAACAATCTCCTCAACATTCTTGACTGAGCACTTCTTACCAATGAGTTGGTTGAGATTATTAAGATATGCAACACCAGAGCCGAGCTTCTTGCCTTCTTGTGCTTCACGGTAGGAGCTGATCAAATATCGGCCAGCTTGCAAAGTCAAGATGGTGTTATCACCTTCCCAGGTACAATGAACAGCAAAGTCTTGATACATTCCAGCAAGGCCAGTATAAGCAGAGTAACCATGACCACCGCAAGCTTGACGGCATTGTTCAATGGTATTGAGACAGTTCCAGGTACAAAAAGCTTTAAGACCAGCGCTAGTGGCGTGAGTTTCCTTCAAATTCTCCATAACTTGTTGAAGATCAGCATCATCTGGGCTGGCACTTTCCAACTGGTCCATCATGGTAAGATACATTTCCATCATTTCAGTACCCGTAAAGTGCATGGCGAAAGCTTGAGCCAAAAGTGGCATCAATCGACGTTGGTGGATAGGGTAATCAAGAAGCTTGGTTTCGACACCTTGGTTAGCCTTGGTGGCGAATTGGCGGCGGACAGCAGCATATCGGACAGCGATGGTCAAAGCCTTCTTGGCGACATTACCGCTATCGACTACCATGGCGGCACGACCTTGCAACAAAGCACCATAGGTCTTTCATGTTGGAAGAACATTAGGAATGGATGAAGAAATAAGGTAGTCATTATTCTGATACAACTTACCAATTGTTGTAACTTGGGTTCCTTGACTTGGCCGGAGCGTGAGACCTTGGTATGCTTCATCAACATATAGGATCTAGGGATGCGGACATTGGTAAAAGTAATCCAACCATTGTCAATACCGTCACGGCCCATCTTCTTGCCGATATCACCAATGTTAACACCAGCGAGAAGAGAATAATCATTGGGATCTCTCAATGGAACAACAAAGGATTTGACGCCATATCGCTTGCCTCCAACAAGAAGCTGAGCGAACACGACAGCATGTGTAGCGGTATGAGCAGCACCACCGATCCACCACTTGGTAGCAGTGATAGTGGGAGAGTGGATGACGAATTGATCAGAGGCTTCATCGAATGTGGCAGTGGTTTCAACACCAGCAACGTTGGATCCGTGGCCGATTTCGGTCATGGCAAAACAACCAATCATTCCATTCAAGGAAACAGCACCCTTAGATGCCCAGTAGCTGAATTGACCAGGTGTTGCACTTCCTTGAAGAGCACCAAAGAACAAGCCATCTGATAAGTGAGACATATGTTAGCAAGGTTTTGTCATGTGAAAGCTTTCAAGAAACCCACATGCATGTAGAGGGCATACTAACAGTGAACTCCGAAGCGGGTCCAGAAACCAGGATCAACCAAAGAAACCACCTCCATACGCTTTCTGAAAGTATTGACGGATTCATTGGTCAAATGGTGAAGCAAGCTGCGAAACTGCATAGACAAAGTTAATACCCAAACTCCATGCGAAACCGCCTGCGACAATAAGAAAAAAAAAAGGGACAGAAATCGTACCTTCTCCATTGTTCTCTCGCGCAATTGATCCTTGGTAAGGTCGTGGAAGTCATTCATACGAAAAACTTGATCTCGCTCAAGTTCTAGCATCATACGTTCTCTGACCTATAGGGTGAGGTAACCCCAGTCAGCCATGAGTACGTCACGGTACGCTACCGAGGTTTTGATCAAAACACTTACCAGAGTAGCAGACTTTCCTCCGTCCAAAAGATAAGTCATTGCTCTAATATCAAAGGCAGCCTTGTTTCTTTCTTCTTTCATGCTCTCAACGGGGCTAATGCAATGGGAATGTAAGTTACGGTGAGGAGGCCTACGAGACGCGGTTTTGAGAGGTTACTTACGAGACAGCGAGGGCTCTCTCTTCTTCCGGGGAAAGGTGCTGCTTAACGGCTTGAACTCTTGCTTTTGCAGAAGACATTTTGAAGGATTGTTGGATAAACAAGCGAATGAATGAGCAAAGTCGCCTTTTAATAGGCGGCAATTAGTACCAACAAATGTTCCGTTTTGGGATAATGACTTCCCAAATTTTCACGTGCCTCTTTCATATGATTGATGGTTTTGACAGACACTCTCGTGAAATTCCACACCAAATTAAACATTTGCATGGACAGAAGTGCCTGAAGAGATCATCGCTAACCATCAGGGCCGATGACGGCAGATTTTTTTAAAATGGAAGCAGAACGTCATTGATGATGGAAAAATTGGCTTCATTATTTATACTGGACACTGCATTTTTGGCTTGGCTTTTTAACAGCTTAAGGTAAATGGAGAGGTCATATAGGGCTTTGCGAATGTATAGAACATAATCAGCAAAATATAAGGGAGTATGAGTGGTAAAATGTAAACATAAAAAAAACAGTAGGAAGAGCTGGAAACAAATTTTAAAGTGGGCTGCCTTGAACGGGGAGACAGTAATTGTTGTTGAGTGTGTTGTAGTGTTGAGATTTTTTCTTGAAGTTGGTGTTGTTGTGGGGGTGGTGGTTATACTTTTCAGCTTTTTTAGGTCGGCTTTACGAATGCTTTTATACTAGACTTGAATCATGTTTGGCTTTTGGTAATTTTAAAGGGGATATGAACCAGCCATATCCAACGAAGAGCTTGTTCTGCTTTTCATTTCATTTCGATCTCAAGAGTGAGCATGTCTTTCTTGTGTGACCCCACTGCCAAAAAGACCGCCAGTCAAATATATAAAAAATATATAATTAGATCTCCGCTCGTACAGCATGGCCAAGAGAAGCTTTTCTTACCTGTCCACAGTGATCACTGTAATCGCCCAACACCGAAGTGACAACAACGCAAAATGAAAGATGGCGCGTTAGGGATGTTGGATTAGTAAATGCTCTGGGTATTTCGCTTACCATTGTCCTCCGGTTAAATTAACGGGTTTAATTGGCGGCGGTGGCATCCTCCTTCAACGCTAAATATGAGCAGGTGAATGCGAGGAATGGTTTTTCGGTAGAAAATACTTCGTGTAGATAACAAAGACAAACTTTGATGAAAAGCGGAAGAAGAAGAGTTGGGAAGAATAGACCTTGATAGGAAAAGTGACTTAAAATAAATAGAAAGAAAAAAAAAAATGGGTGGAAATTTCACAAAGACAGCATGTCCTGCTAGTCGAAACATAAATACATACTGTAATCCTCACAACTGCATCCACAGTAAGTGTGTAATTACATCCAAAAGAAGGTTGAACTTCCTTTGTAACGCTGATTACAGTTGAATCACCTTTTCGATTGCTAAATTTGCATTGCAACTAACCTGTAGTCGCGCGGTCTAAGGGTCCTTTGACTCTCCCTGTTACAAATGTAAATATTTTGGGATCACTGCATGAAACATGGCACCTATTTTGTCGTACTTGTAGTTCTTTATACACTGATCACTTCTTTGGTGATCATGTCTTGATAAGCGAAGGAAAAAAGACGAACCTGGAGCCCCATAATTTTTGGGGTAGGACAAGAACCTTCGGCGCAGAGAAGGGCTGCTGTCATTTGTTTTCTTTTTGTAGGTTCGCGCTTGCAGGCGTTGCCCATACACAGGTAGTTTGGCGATATTTGGAATGGGGCTTCTCTGACGATCTTTCATTCTAACATGGAGAAAGATTCTTTTCTATCTAAACTGTAGACACAACATTCGTCTTGAAGGTGAAATCAGACTGGAGATCAATATATTGCATCCACCAAAGCGGCTGTTTCACTGCAATCTGCGTGCCATTAGGCAATTTTGTTCATACCGATCACGTAAATATTGAAGGGCTCGACTCTCTTGTCTCTCATATTACATTCTTTATGTGTCATAGCGAGAAGCGGATAGATCTTTGGAAAAATGGCGCCTTTGACCGGAACTGCTGCACCATCACAAAAAAAATCGTGCTCACTCCCAAGCCAAGTCATCACCAACCTCCCGGATATTCCTTTTTGTAATAAGGTTGATTTTCTACCCTACTGGCATAAATGGGCCTGTTGTGAGTTTATATATAGTTAGGCACTGTCATCCACTCGCTATTGACCGCATCTCCGAGTTTCTTGCCTTTTTCTACACGGCCGACTTCTTTGATACAAATATCCTTTTTGTTTATCTGTTTGAACGGGCAAAGTGTGTAGCCACCAGATCTTTCTTTCCTTTGTTTGTTACGCAAACAAATATCTTTCTAACTTTTGGGGTAGATGTACACAGTTCTGTTCTGGGTCAGCTGTCACTTTTAAGAAAGACGAAAAGCGAAAAAAAAAAAAAAAGATTGCCTAACGTACTGTTATGGGTATTGTAAGCAAACTGCACGTAACACGGTGAAGAGATAAAGCACATTAGGTTTTTATGATGTTGATCGTCGCATTTGAGCTTTTGAAGTACCTTTGCACTGGTTCCTCTCTTTAGCGAACTTTACTAAGACGAAACCACGTTCATGTTTGAAGGAAACTGTCTGTGCCCTCAGTCTATCCAAAAAGGTAAAGCTTGTGATACCAACGGAAAATAGCGGTGCCACTTCTGAGATGTAGGGTTGCTTCATGCTATCCTGCCAACGCATTGATGTAGCATTATTTGATGCCTTACATACTTAACTAAGAGAGAACTCATGGACTATTGGACGTCATTCATCACTATCTGAATGGCATTCGATTTGCAACTGGGTAATATTGGGGTGTGTCATTTGGAACAAAAGCCGCAGCAAGAAAGTCCCTTTCAAGTTAAACACAGTTGTTTAGGAAGCTTATCGACCCTCTTGAAATGAAAGCTATAATGTAATAATAATAAAATAATAATACTGATTATGCGTAAATTACTGCTTAACAGCATCCCGAATTTTTTTTTTTCGCTTGGCTGTCAAATGAGTGGAGGGCAAACCCTTCTTTCAATCACGTGATCAATCTGGGCGATCAAAAAATACAGTGCAGAAAAACTGCACTGCGAATCCATTGCAATCAAGTAACACGATCCAGCTACTCAAATGGTAATTGATCTTTTGTCGAATCTCTATAATTGCCCTCATACAAACGTTCTTTTAACGACTAACCATACCATTGCATTAGGCACGTAATGAAGAAAAGGCTCAGTCCATGCTGTATCGCTTTCGAGAGGCGCAAGCTGCAGAATTAGGATTGTCACGGCCTCAGAAAAAGAGACCTGCTGTCGCATCCGAAGTCAGAAACTTGCCAGAATCAGAAAAATGGAGAAGACAGGTGCTGAGTGAAATCTCGCGAAAAGTGTCCAAGATTCAAGATAGTAAGCAGTGTTTTGTTTTTCATCAAGCGCCACCTTAACCCTACGTTGACCGTAAGTCCTCTATAGCCGGTCTTTCCGATTACCAAGTTCGCGACCTCAACGATGAGATCAATAAGCTCATGAGAGAAAAGCTGGCGTGGGAACACCGGATAAAGGAATTAGGAGGTCCGGATTATTTCGTAAGTCAAACAATGAGGGTGCTTCGTACAGTTTGCAACATGGATGGAAAAGGTTTTGACTTGTTAACACATGATTCATTAATTTGTATAGAAAATAGCTCCTAGGCTGATGGACCAAGAAGGCAGGGAGGTGCCTGGTAATAGAGGATACAAGTAAGTTCCTTGAACTGACGCGAATCAAATGGATGATTCGAGTAAACCTCATGTAACTAATTTTATCCATCTCTAGGTATTTCGGTAGAGCCAAAGATCTTCCAGGCGTTCGAGAGCTGTTCGAGCAAGAAGGTACGTTGAGAGCGGTGTCAGCAGGTCATCTGTATTTATTCAATGCTGAATTATTGTAAGCAGCCCAAGAACCTGTCAAGAAGACAAGACAAGATTTATACAGAAATGTGGACGCGGATTATTACGGATATCGTGACGAAGAAGACGGGAGCCTTTTAGAATACGAAGCGGAAAGACAGAAGGAATTGCTTGAGCAGAGCAAGGATATAACATATCAACCGGACGACGTACCCGACGAAATGCAGGTCGATGGCGAAGACACGCGGACACAGCAACTCGACGTCAATGGCGCAATAAGTGATAATTTAGCAAAAGGCGCAGCTGTTCCAACACAGCAGGAAATTGAGCAAATTCTTGTGCAAAGACGAAGGCAACAAGTAAGTATCAACAACAAACCTTTGGCGGCAATTTATATCACGATTGTTAATTGTTCTACACTTCTTCTTTTTACTAGTTACTGGATAAATATGTGTCGCAGGATATAGAGGAAAGTGAAAAGGAAACGAAACAACTCACTGGCTTAGCATAGATTTACTCCATTCTGTTCGCTTGTATCGTTGAGTCTGATATCATAAAATGTGTAAATCCCAAAACCCAACGTCGACTTCACGCCACCCTTGATGACCATAGATGGTAAAGCTGTTTTGCATCCACATTTTTGCCATCATTTGGGTAAGGTCATGTCGATATAGAAAGCTGTGTACCAAACATTGAGGCAAGTTGTGTAAGATTATTTGCTAGCCAGTGTATTCCAACGACTGTGCACCACACCTGACTTTATAAATACGCGTATTTATCTTCAAAGTAAGCAAACATATCATTCGCCATAGCCTTGTCAATCATTACTGCTTCCAGCTTGATATAGACGGGTATCGCCGTCGAACAGAATGATAAACCACTCACTCGGCCAACGTGAGTCAATTCAATCTGCGAACGAATATTTTCTATATTTTTTTTTTTTGGAATGTCAACTCTTGATACCTGAGCATTTCCAACCCATAATCTAAACATGTTTAGTACGCGAGCTAGCACTTCAATGCTCTCTATGGCTAGAGCAATGACATTGAACACATCCCGTCAATCAAGACGATACCTTTCCAATCTTCCTCGAGAGCGTCGGTCCTTGCCCAAAGAAGCACCTCGTCGAACACCTCTTTTGGTCGGAGCAGGCATAGTAGGTGTGTCTCTGTGGATAGGAGGACTTTCTTATGCTATGAACTATCAGCGACAATCCAGCAGCGTTGTGCACGGAACACTTTTTACCGTTCGCTATGATCCTCGAGTTCGCGCTCTACTTGGAGAAAACGTTGGGTATGCTGACTCCTGGGCTTGGATTGACGGCTCCGTCAATCACTTGAAGGGTCAAGTCAATATCAAGTTTAATATCAAAGGCGACAATGGTAAGTAACAACAACGTTTTTTAATCCCACGTATAGTCCCCCTTTACTCAGTACAAATATCAGGTCAAACGGCCAAGGTCCATTTTGCATCACGTAGAGACGGTAACCAATGGCAAACCTTGGTTTTCAACGTAGTCAGGGAGGATGGCGTTGTCATCAATCTCGACCAGCGAGAATTGACTGATACTGGTGCCCCAGTGATGGCCCTTTCATCTTGATTTTGTATCTTTTATGTTTGTACAAAGGCTGTAAAATAGAGGAAAAATCAGGCTAGATTTTAGTATTTTAGATAGATATTTGATAAACAGATGCTTGGTTTTTCAATTTTTTGTACGTTTCCCGCTGCTTTGAAATGTGGTCAACGTACTTAAGAAAGATTGCTATCCCATCATTCCCATTACAGTCGGTTCCCTTCAATCAGGATTTTTTGTTTTCACCTCCTGCTACCCCGCAAGAAAAAATATTTCGGCGCTATCTTACCCCTGTACCCCAGTTTGTACCTTATGGGTTCACAACGACTGCAAGTCTCGGATTATAATCAATATACCTTCAGTCAGTGAATGGATATGCAAATTCTTTACGGGCCTTCGTGATTTATTGAGCTGAAAAGACAGCATATTAGCACCTTCGGGACAAGCATATGCGTTTGGAGCAAGGCAGCCTTTCTGACAACGCTGAATCGATCATGGCGGGTCGTTCAGCGTTTCCTTTTTCTTCATATATTTACACATGCTGGGATCATTTAATCACAGGAGCAGCAATTCACCGATCATTTGCTCTCAAAGAGCATATTCAAATTCTGTTTTGTTCATTTTTGCGAGGTGATTATAACCCCTTATCAATTAAAAGCAGTGTTAAACAACTGACATAATATGATTTGGATAATTTCGTACTGTTACTACTACTGGGTTTGACAACAACTCACTAAAAGTTAGGTGTCTTCGATTTACATGGCGGTTGACTTAGGTCCGAGAAAAACCGTGCCTGAAAGTATACGACCTGCTTGAAATAGTCTGATTGAATGGATAAAATACCTCTACAAGTTGATTCCCCTTCTTGGGTACGGTGAGGTGCATTTTAACCCTGCCCACTCCTCTAGATATCAAAGATATCGATATTGCAACGTACGCTATTATTTTTTATTAGTAAAAAGTGAAAAAAAAAAAAAACATATTATACGCTATATGTTACGGAATAGTATAGTTGGATAATGAAGCGTTTAAGCGGATGCGGTGACTTGAGGAGCAACAACGTGTTGCTCAGCAGTCTCCTCTGGAGTGGCAGTGACTTCTGGCAATGGCTTTTCAGCGGTAGCCGGTTGGGTGGGCTCCTGTGCCTCCTGTGCTGTTGCATCTGCATCAGCCTGTTCCTCTTTCGTCTGCTGGTCCTTCTCCGTTTTATCATTGTTCTTTGAGAACTAAGTTAATGTAGGAGGATAAAGGGGGAGGAGGGTATTTAGAAACAAACATTCGATGCAATTTTACACAACACAACGATGTGGCTTACCTTGAACATGTTGGTAAATCGCTTACCGAAAGGTGATGTGGATCTGGCAGGAGCTTTGGTTTCTTCAGCCTTGGGTGCCTCTTCTGAACCGACTTGGTTTACGATGGTCTCGGGCTGGATAGGCTCAAGATGTTCAATCTTGGGAAGCTCAGTGTTGGTGGTTTCTGTAGCTGACTCTTCAGCTTTGGGTTGAGGTGATCCAGACTTTACGCCAAAAATATTAAAAATGTGTACAATTTTTACAGCGTCCAGGCCATCTTTCTGCTTACCTTTGTTCTGGAGAAGAGCATGTTAAGACCCTTTGACTTCTTCTTATCTGCCACTTCCTCAACAGGCTTTGCCTCTGGTGAAGCAACCTCGGCTTCAGGCTTAGCTTCAGCAGTAGGCTCTTCCTTCTTTGCCTCCTCCTTCTTTCTACCGAATGGGTTAAAGATAGATTTTCTTTTGGCAATCTTGGCAGCCTCTTTGGTCTCAGCCTGTTGCTCAGCAGGTGCAACTTCAGCTGCTGGTGTCTCAATAGGTGCTTCGGGTGCTGTGGTTGGTTCGGCAACGGGTTCTTGAGTAGAAGACATTTGGAAGAATGAAGAAGAAAAGATGCGAATCAATGCAAACAGATCCACAGGTTTTATAGTAAATACAGCAGACTTTCAAAAAAAAAAAAAAAAAACTAGGGGATCATAGGAGTAGGTTGGGTCAGCGTGCACGCAAGTAGCTTCCTTAATGAGCATAACCCCCTTAGAAGACAAGCCCTTGGATTGGTCAAGTTATAACACCTCTCCTTTGCTGGACTCCACGACTGCGTGTTTGAATCCCCCCACGTGTGGAATATCTTGATTACCTTCAAGTACTGGTAATTTTCCACGTTTTAGTTACACTTGTTCAGGTCAATGTTGATAGCTTATGCAAGCTAATTTTATAAAAACAAAAATAATATATGGCACATTTTTTCATTTGGAATCCTGATTTATTATGTCAAAAGGGTCGCTTGAGTCCCATGGGAGATTTCCCAGAAAACTACCAGTCACCTCTACCACCAGATAACGCAGCAGCTTCTTCTTCCATTCGGCGAGCAGCTTCTCGAGCCGCCCTGGCACCTTTAATAATAGCTTCCTGCTCTTCTTTATACCTGAGCTGCTCTGCTTCTCGATCCTCTTTTTCACGACGAAGTCTCTCCAAACGATCCTGTTGTTGCTTCTCCTCTTGCCATCTTCTGGCTTCGGCAGCCCTAGCTTCTTCGTCTAATTGTGCAACTTCTGAATCATTTTGATCTTGTACTGCTTTGTTGCGTCGCTCATCTTCCAATTTTTTGGCCATTTGTCGTTGTCGCTCACGTTCTTGTGCAAGCGATGTCTCCGTTGACAGCTGCTTCTCCATTGCTTCAAGTTCTTCAGCTGCTTTAGCTGCTCTTTCTTCAGCTTCTTTCATCTTCTGCTGAGTTTGACGTTCAACTTCCTCTCGATGTTCACGAGCTTGACGGAGTTTTTCTTGCGCAACTTGCTGAGCTTCACGCAATCGCTTTTGAGCTGCACGTTCATCTGCATCTGGTTGAGGTTTGGTTGACCGACTTTGATCTATGATACGATCTGAAGGTGGATTTGGCGATGGTGATAATCCACGGGATATCCTCAAAGCAGCCATACGTTCTTGTACTCGTCTTTCAGCTTCTTTCTTGATATCAGCTGCAGTTTTGGGTCTTGGCGATACAGACCGATTGATAGGACTAGGGCTTCTGAGTACAGGAGAGGTATTATAGCCAGAAATATCAAGGTAAGGAGAGTTAGAGTTTGGTGGAGGAGAAAATGAGCTTGGTATCGAAGTGTGGCTATCGTCGGTTTCCTCAAATGATGGGAAGCGAGATGTGAAGGTTGGATCAACATCAGGTGCGCGTGCGCTTGCAGTCTCTAATGCGAGCTCTCGTATGAATGTTCTTAAATCGTCAGCAACACCATCACCCTCTTCAAATCGATTTCGTTCTTGCAGCCGCTGTTCGTCTTCTGAGCGAGCATTGAAGTCAAGGCCAATGATACTCATATCTCGACGAATGCCATCAATAGATCCAGACAGCTGATTAAGCGAGCGCTCGAAGTCAAATAGTCTGTCGTCGTGTTCTTTCTTTTCATCCTCTGCCTCTTTGATCAATTGAGTTCCTGCATTGGATGGTGCGGAAGCCAAAGCTTGTGTTTGACCAGTAATTTTGCCCATGCGTGCCGCCAACATGGCTTTTGCCTTGGCCCTGATTTTGTCACTTTCAGTGATCTCTCCATTCGGCCCAGTGCCGACAATATCAATTTCTGGTGCTGGGCTGGATATAGCTGAAGATTCGACTTGAGGGCTGACACCAGCCTGCGATTTTCCATACGCTTTCTTTTTTTCAGCAATTTCGGTATCCAGGTCTTTCAACTGTGACACAAGATCAGGGATCGTACTTTCTAAAAGATACTGCACTTCGTGTTGTAAACTTCTTTCTTCTTCTGAGAGCTTAGTAAGTTCGCTTGTACCCTCAGAGTATTGAGTCCAAACGTCCTTTGAATTATGCTGATCAACATTCGATCGCACAATTTCCTTTTCCAATTCCTTGATTCGATCTTGAATCTCCTCAATATCCTTTCTATCCAGATATGACAAGGATTGTAGAGGCGTGGCGGCGTTAGCTGCCCCCATTTCCATGAGCTTCAATAAGCGATTCTTGTGTTCTGTGATTTGCTTACGAAGATCTGAAATTCGGCTGGTCTTGCCACGGTATTCAGGAGTTGATGATCGAGGGCTGGGAGACGAGCCATCTGACGTTGGTGTGCGATTGCCTCTACGGTCCGGTCCCATACGGCGTGCGCTTGATATATATCCAACCTGAGAGTCATCATCCTTGTACTTTTCCCTTCCTCTTGGAGCGTTAGGACTGAGAGGGTTAGATCGTGAGACTGGAGAGGAGCTGGTAGATGAGAAAGAAGTCGTGCTCTTCTTGTTCACAATGTCGTTAACAATCTTCTTTCTCAGTTCATTGACGCTGTCGCTTAATTCACGGCTGGAAGGTGGTACAAGTTCCTCAGGCAACGATGTTGGGACGTCATATCCATTAATTTTACGGTAAATAAGATGCATAGCAACAGCAAATTCATCTGCGTTCAGCTTTCCTTGATTATTCGGGTCCGAAAGGTTCCTGTAGCAAGTTTAACCGTCTGTTAGAGATACTCTGTTTTTCAACACTAGCTTTACGAAATGTCATACACACCATATCTGCATCAAAACATTTTGAGCAAGGCCGGATTGCGAGAAAATCTCTTTGGCGGTATCGCCAGGCAAAAATCCTTTCTTATCGCTGTCCCATGCCTTGAAGATTTCTCTATATCGTTCTCGCTCTTCGGTCGTGACCGCCCATGGAATTTTAACCTTGCCTTCCAAACTCTGGAAATCTTTTCTTCTATTTGCGATGTACATTCCGGTAGGCATAGGCATCATTCGGCTGGTGAAATCTAAATTATGAGCATTCATTCCTGTAGGCATAGCTATTTGTTGATTTGCACCCATAATCGGTGTAACGCCAGTCATCATAGGTACTTGCAGGCCAGTAGGTTGCATTTGTTGATAACCCGTCATTTGCGGAGGAACTAATCCAGGCAAGCCACCGTTCCCTTGCATTCCAGTTAGTTGCCCGTTTATAGGACTTACGGACCCAGTCATCATGGGCATTTGCTGTTGAGCTCCGGTCATCATAGGATATTGCGCCTGTGCTGATGAAGTATCTTTCGCGGTATCGGTTGATTCCAATGTAGCAACAGCAATTTGAACTTCTTCTGCAATATCGTCTGGAAGTGAGCTAGGAACAGCTTGACCCGTAATAGCCTTTGATGTGAGATACATGGCAATAGCGAATTCCGGAAAGCTCAGCTGTGGTGAAGGAGTTACAGCAGACAGATCCCTAAAGCATGCAAGGTTATGACCCAATGCCGCATATCCATTGCAAAGCTTTAGGTCTACGACTTACCAGACTTTAGCAAGTGTATCATCATTTAAACCACTTCGGGATAATATCTCTCGGGCTGTCACAGCTTATATCAGATTAGAGCTCTGTTAATATTATACTCCAGTTTTGGTTGTGAATCGGGAGACATTGGATACCTGTAATATATCGACTACCAGAGCTCGATGTTGCCTGTGCAAAGAGCGATTCATACCTTGCTTGATCTTCTGCGGAAAGAAAGCTCAAGCGAACGGCTGTGAGGAAGAAGAAGGTTGAGTTTAGTCAGTTAAGCTCCCATTCCACGTTCTCATCATAACATCACTTGACTAAATGCTTGGAGTTCTCAGGCAAGATTGTAGATTTTGAGCCATGAACCAAATAATAGAACTCATCCTTCAGAATGAAGCATCACACTTTGAATTTTGGACTACATACCCTGTGATTGCCCAGGATTCGACAGGCTTTGCATGTGGAGTAGGTGGAGGACCGAGAGGACTTCTTGACGCGGAGAAACAAAATCTCCAGCCAATGAGGCACATGACATCATCCATGAAGTTAATTTTTTGAGCAAACGATCAGTAGTGTTGCCTCAATCCATACTCCAATGCTGCGGTTAACGGCTTTAAACCGATGGCAGCTTGCCAGGCAGTACGCCAAAACACGTCCAACTAGCCGGTCCTTTCGGTATCTATCGAATATTCCTGCACAAGCGCCGGTAGCCGTAACACAAGCTAGCAATGCAGATTTAAAGCACACTGACGAACATTTACGAATGCTCTTTGACAATAACAATGTCTGGAACCAGGAACGAAAAGGAAGTCCAAGCAATGGATTGTTCGGAAAACTCAAGAGAAGTGGGACGACCACCACGTCGGTGGGGCTTTTCAATAACCCTAACTTTGCTACTGCTGCTGGATTCGAACAAGCCGCCAGTGACACGATAGAACGCGCACAATTGATTGTAGAACGAATATGGAGAGCACCAGAAAATGGAGAGAATGAAATGAGAAAGGTAGTCAAGAACCTGGACCGACTTTCAGATACTCTTTGTTGCGTTATTGATATGGCCGAATTCATCCGCAACGCCCATCCTGACCGAACGATTTTGGATGCTGCCAACAACGCCTACAGTACTTTATGCTCTTACATGAACACACTAAACACAGATACTAGACTTCACAAGGTATGTGTGGTAGTATAACGGTCTCCTTTAAGCAACGTATTGCTAACCATCCTGACAGGTGCTCAGTATGGTTATGAGGGACCAAACCATTGTAGCACAATTCACTCCAGACGAAATTATGACTGCCAAAGTCTTTTTGAGAGATTTCGAAAAGTCTGGTATTCATTTACCTAACGAACAGCGGTCCCAGTTCGTTGGCCTTTGCGATGAAATTATACAACTTGGTCGAGCATTTGTTCAAAATAATCCAAGGTCCATTCGACAAATTAAAGTTGAACCATCACGGTTAAATGGGCTTTCTTCCTCAACTATCAAATCACTTACACATTCTGACGGTCATGCATACATCGGTACAGACTACACCGAAAGCCATGCTATCCTCAAATACGCTAAAGACGAGGATGTTCGCCGAGAAATGTATCGAGGGATGAATTCTGCGACCGACGAAAGTGTCATGATATTGGAAGCATTGATGAGACGGAGAGGAGAGCTAGGAGAGCTCGTTGGCAAGGAATCGTATGGGCATTTGCAGCTTCAGGACAAAATGGCGAAGACACCAGGTACGATGCGGCTTTATTTGTGTACAACGACGGCCATCGTAGTAACTATTTAATCTTAGAAAATGTTGATGCCTTTTTGAACACTCTTGTGAAACACCAGCAACCTGCTGTTGATGCGGATGTTCAGCTGTTGAAAGCAGCCAAAGCTAAAATAACTGGATCGAAGGAACCAGTGGAGATTATGGCATGGGATCGAGACTATTACATGAATATACTTTCAGCATCTTATCAGGCAGTTCATCCCAGCCTACCAATTTCGCCTTATTTTTCGGTTGGATCGGTTATGCAAGGTCTATCCAGATTATTCAAAAACATGTATGGAATTCATTTTGAACCCGATTCCATCAATCCGGGAGAGACATGGCATTCTCAAGTTCGCAAATTAAAGGTGGTGTGTGAGAATGAAGGCACTATTGGTACAATGTACTGCGACTTATTTGCTCGAAACGGAAAAGGAACGAATGCCGCACATTATACGGTGCGAACTTCGCGTCGAGTGGATGATGATGATGCTATCAACGACCTCGCCTACGCCGATCCATCACAACGGGAACGCATACACGCAACTTTGGATACAAGCAATGGAGCGCAAATACGTGGTCGCCAAGGACTTTATCAACTACCCGTAATTGTTTTAACATGCGATTTCCCGACTCCTAGATCCAATTCCATGCCAACATTGCTCTCGTTTTACGAGGTTGAGACCTTGTTCCATGAAATGGGTCACGCCATGCATTCCATGTTGGGACGAACCGACTTCCATAACGTAGCGGGTACGCGCTGTGCAACTGATTTTGTGGAGCTACCATCCATTTTGATGGAGCACTTTGTTTCCGATCCGCAAGTTTTATCTCTGTTTGCCAGTGACTACCGCACTAGAGAGCCACTTCCATATGAATTGGTGAAGACGTATCTAGATCATCGAAAACGATTCAGCGGCATTGATACCAATTATCAAATCGTCATGGCTCAATTGGATCAGCGGTACCATTCACCCATCGCTGTTCAGAAAGAGTTTTCAGCCGCCAAGGTGTGGCACCAGCTTCAAAATGAAAATGGCGCCTTTCGCGGTGGAGAAAACTCAATGTGGCCAACCCAGTTCACCCATCTCTTTGGATATGGATCTGGATACTACAGCTACTTGTTCGATCGTACACTAGCTCGTAGAGTCTGGCAGAGTTGCTTCGAAAAGAATCCACTTGATCGCGAAAACGGTATGCGTTTCCGAGAACAGGTGCTTCGATGGGGTGGAGCTCGTGATCCTTGGGAATGCGTGGCTAGCGTACTGGACGAACGAGATGCTGCCACTATTGTTAACGGAGACCAGGCCGCTATGCGGCAAGTTGGCGATTGGGGCATCGACGTATAGTAATTTAAAACCCTTAGAAAGGTAAACACAACCTGCACATAATACCCTCCCTCCAATAAAAAAGTATAGACCTATAAACCATTTTAAAAAATAGCAGACTTTAAGAATATTCTACATCTCTTCAATCCTATTTATTACTATTACGCTTATTTCTTCTTCTTCGCTGACGACGACGCAGAAGTGGTTGCCTTTCTCTTGACGCCTGCTTTGGATGATGCCTTTCCTTTTGCGGACAGGTCTTTTGTTTTAATGTACTTGTCTTTGGCAAGATTTGTTTCATCGTCATTATCGGCAGCTTGCTCTTCTTCGGAAACATCACCGCCAAAATCAGCCTCGTCATCGAAAATGGTTCCTTCTGGATCGTCCATAGGAACGGCAATTGCTTTCTTGATTGTTTGTCCACCTGGTTGTAGCATAACAGGATGGCTAGTACTGTTGTACCTGAATGTAATGCATTAGTATTAGGTAGACAGAGAAATCTCGCCATTTTGATGCAGGTTTCTTACTTTCTCGTGAACGTTGACTTAATACTGGTTGTTAGCTGTGACTGGAGTGTCTTTTGACCTCTAAGAGGGAATTCGAGTTCTGCAATGGCATCAACAAGATCCTTATCAAGATAATAAGAGTCCATGATTTCAAAAGCAGTATCATAATCCTCCTGCACAAAAAGTTGTTTAGTAATTGCTTTTCAGCATTTAGCTCCGTTCAAGTTAACTGACCTCAAGTAAGGCAGAGAATATGAGTTGGTTCAACACAGGTAGGTAGTTCTGGCGCACTTCATATTTGTCACCGGACGATTTGGTGCGCATGTGGATTTGAAGTTCGCGTAATAAGCGCTTCCTCTTCTGTGTCTTTGAGTTTTGGCCTAACCAGCTGCAAAGATCGTCATTAATATGAATACTGACGACATTTCATAGTATACGTTAATGGAACTTACGCAGGGAAGTTTAGACGATGAGCCCCAGCAAATTGCCCTTTCATAAAATGAGCGGGGCGAACCATTGAAAACATAGAGTGGACAGGCATAAGTGACCAATGTTGTGTTGATCTTGTAGGCAAGGTGAGTTTTACATGCGAAGTCATATTCTATACACATCATTGCTCCACTTACCCGTGAATCATTCCGTCTACCATCGCTCCTTCGGACATGGCTTCAGCAGCGTCAGCGATAGCTTCGATATACTTGCAGTCCATTTCGTTCTGATTTGACGCCGCTTTCGCCTGCTCAGGCATCCATCGGACATAATTTTCCTAGTACAATCAAGAGTCATCAGTCGTGTTCTTAGAGAATTGTGTGCCGTGTAGCCCATGTGCATAAATGGCTCCTATACTCACAAAAAACATTAGATGCGATAATGAATAATCGTGAAAGTAGATTTCACTTTTTTGTGCCAGGGTCATTTCCCGCGATCTGGCAGCCGATAGTAACATTCCAGGAATCTCAAAGAGATTAATCTGACTGTATTTCTCATTCATCTTTCCACTATTGATTTGAATCGATGAGTAAAGCCGGCACTTCCATAATCATAATTGATATGTCAAATCTTACACAGCTTTAGCTTGGTCGAAATTCATAGTTTTCTGACCGAGTCGATACGTTGAAAGAATGTTGATAATTTGTCGGATATCGTTTCGAGTTGCTTCGACCAACTGATCTAATGCATTCGGCTCGATTGAGAGTTTTTCTCTGCAGGTACACATAAGTCACGCGCGCATGGGGAACTGGATGTTTCAAAATGAGATACCAATTTACCTGAATGCTATTGTCAAGAATCGTGACCGTAGCTGGGCTGCAGGCGTTCTAGAACACGAATCATATTAGAGAAGCAGAAGAATTTTCTGAAAGATGTTTGGTCACACCGATCCTACCTCTTGAATTTGGCTTCATAGCATACTCGCAGCAATGGCTCGATTTTTTTAGCTTTGTTATCATTGCAGATACAGATGACAGGGATCTAGTTGGATATGGAATTGTCAGATTTGAAAATCACAACATGGGAGTATTCAATAGGACCCTTACTTTGGACTTCTTTATCAATTTTGCCATCTCGGCCGCACCACCGCGGTCACCGGCGGACATACCGTCAACTTCATCCATAACCAACACTACTTTTTTGCCATTAATCAATCGATCTCCTTTCTGTAAATAAACAACGTTTAGCGTACGCTTGTATTGAATGACCGTGATCAGATTTATCGTATACTTACTGGTTTGCCTGCAGCGAAGAACTCTGTCATTGTACGGTTGTCCATCATTTCAGAAACACTCTCCTGTGAAGGTGAAGACATACATTCAGTCTATTTGCATACGTCAATCCTCAACACTTGCATCTGTGTACATACCTCCAAAATCTTTTTGCTACGAACATCACTGGCATTAAATTCCAGAAGCTCGTAGCCATTGGTTTTAGCAATAACATGAGCGGCAGTTGTTTTTCCGATTCCTGGTGGTCCACTTAGAATAACAGCGGAAAAATCATTAATACTTTCTTTGTTTCTAAATTTGAATCCACTGCTATAGCTTGAGTCCCTGTGTGCCATAAATCAACAGAGTCCATTAGATACATTTAAGCGGTGATTTACAATAAGCATGGCAGGAGTGTTGAAGTGATTTCGTACCAATCTTTAAGCCATCCTGAGATTCGTTTAACAAGTTCTTTGTTACCAAGAATTTCCTCGATCTTTTGCGGTTTGTATTTTTCCGTCCACAACATGGATGATTGTTCCGGGTTTGCGCTAAGCAACAATGAAATATAAGCATAAGGCCGCTGAGCAATAAGTCGTTAATGATGAAAACATCCACTTACCCTATCTCTTCCTTTTTCTTGCCTTTAGCTGCGGAAGCAGTTGGCTTTTCTATTGGTGGCATTTCAATTTCTTTCGTTTGTGATGTCTTTAGCAATTCGAAAAAACCATCCTCATCCAATATCTTGGTGCCAAGCTTTTCTGCCTTCTCAGTTTTCGACGGACCAGCCTCTCTTCCTTTCAAAAAGTGGGTTGTCTTGCCGCTTATCGCACTTGTTATCCGCCTAAGTCCATTTCATCAGCATGCAGCTCAATATCTCCATAGAACAAAGATTGCTTACCCTCCATATCTTTTAATGAGGTCTTCTGTTTCATTGCGGGTGATGGTTTCAAACTCACCAGATACCACAAAGGTGAATCCCGCAAAGCAGTTAGGCGCAGCTTGAGGTATCTCTCGCGTTCCAAGGTTTTGGGGTGGCAGTCTGTTTTTCAGTTGCCATAGACTGTTGACGGTGTAAAGAGGATAAGTGTAAGCTCTATTTCCTTCTACATCTAACAAGCCGAACACTTCTGTACTTACGAAGGCTTCTTGTTAACAGTTTCCTTCTCTGCACTTGCAGCTTTTGTAGCCTTCTCTTTCTTTGTTTCAGCTTTAGCCACTGGTTTTTTCTCTTTTGGCTTCACTTCCTCCTTTGGCTTGACCTCTTCAACCTCGTCATCACTGATAGTCTCAAAATCACCATCAAAATCATCGTCGCTCTCCTCAATTTTTGCCTTAGCTTTTTTCTTCGTTTCAGTCTTAGCTTTAATAGATTTCGAGTCTTTCGCCTTAGTAGCAGCTGGCGTTGATGCGTGGGGTTCGGATGGCTTGCTGTTGTTATCAGGCTTTTTATCCATCTCCTCCAACACTTCGACGTCTTCCTTCTTGGTGGCACCCTAAGATTGACAGCTTAGTGGCATGTAATCTGGCCGGGACTTAATAGTCTTTATATATACCTTCTTAACAGATGTACTCGGTTTTTTCGAGGAGGCAAAGTAGTCATTTGGATCAACTTCCTCTACCCCCTTCTTACTTTCAACTTTGGCTTTCTTTTTACTGATTGTACAACGCATGTTAGTATAGATCGTTTCTGTGGTACTTGCCATCAGCATGTTCCTTACGCATTTTTGTCCTTTGACGGTTCAGACTTTGTGGGTTCGACAAGAACAACGTCGTCATCTTCATCGGAATCAATGACAGCACGTTTCTTTCTATTTTTCACTGAAGGCGCGATTTCTTGGCTGCTGTGATATTTGTATTATAGGTTGGCTTAGCGTCGCGCCGTAGTCACATACTTGTTGCGTTTGTTTAACACTTACGAGTTGTTATCACTATCGTCCACTACTACTACTGAAAGAACTATGTTATGGGCGTTTTCATATGCTCTTCCTACATGACTTCGACACCTTACCCTTTGATTGTGGTCGAATTCGTTTTGGAGTTGCTTTGGCGGGTTCTTCCTTCTGCGGTAGACGAATTGTAAATTGCTAAGGTGTTAGTATAATGAGCACACACGTAAATTAGTCGTGTAAAACCGAGCCGAACCACTACCTTGGCAGAAGAAGGCGATGCTGACCCGCCAGCTTTGGAAAAATACTTGGTGATGTCCATTTCACGCTCCACAAGAGATGCAACCCGTTTCAGCGTGTAGCAATTTTTCCAAACGACCGCATTGAACGCGTGTGACTGGCAACTTGCTCATATAGGCAGCCTATGATATAACACGTCAATTACGGCAGGTAAGCTATTCAAGTAGTGTATATTTATGATGATACCAGTTTAAGACCTGCTGGTGATTACAATGACGTTTTGACATAACTTTTGAAAGACGTAAGGAATTCACTAGGCAAATATGTTTGTATCTATTGCTTTCTAATTTCCGCAGAAACCTGTTGCACGGTTTCCAGATAAACTTTGAGAGAATCTGGGTTGACGGTTGGAAGAATGCCGTGACCGAGGTTGGCGATATATTTGGCATCCTTTCCAAAATCCTTAACCATCTTGGTAGCGATTTCTCTAATGGCTTCGTCTGGGCCGTACAGGGCAGTGGGGTCCATGTTGCCTTGCAGACACACGCGATCCTTTGTCACGCTTCGAGCATATTTGGGGCTAATTGTCCAGTCAAGGGAGACAACATCGTAACCGATGGATGAAAGATCCTCCAAAGCGTACCAAGAACCCTTGGCGAAAATAGTCATAGGAACCACCTCAATGTCAGCAATGTCAAGTTGCTCCTTTACTCGAGAAGCAATTTGAGCGATATAGGGAAGGGAGAACTGCTTAAAGTCGTCAGGACCAAGTTCGCCACCCCAAGAATCAAACACTTGAAGCATCTGTATGAAAAACGAGTGTTAGGCGCCGAATGCAGGATAACGTCCAGTATTAGCAATTGAACGTACCTGAGCTCCTGCCTTAACTTGTCCGACAAGGAAGGTAACAGACACATCGGTGATTCTTTGGAGTAGGCGATGAGACTCCTCAGGGTATTTCCACAACCAACTCTTTGCTTTGGCTAAAGTCTTGCTGCCACCACCTTCAATCATGTAAGCCATCAAGGTCCATGGAGCACCAACGAAACCCAACAATGGCACACGTCCTTCCAACTTCGTTCTTGTCAAAGTGATAGCTTCATAAACATAACCAAGCTCCTTGCCAACATCAATCTTTTCATGAAGTCGTGAAATATCTGCAGGGGTGTCGAGTGGGGCTGTGAAAACAGGACCTCTACCTTCGATCATTTTGACTTCTAGTCCTAAAGCTTGGGGAATGACGAGGATATCGGAAAAGATGATAGAGGCGTCAAGAAGGGAGCCGTAACGATCGATGGGTTGAAGAGTAAGAGCGCAAGCTAATTCAGGTGTACGGCAAACTTCGAAGAAACCATGGTGTTTGCGAATCTCGTGGAATTCTGGAAATGAAGTTACATTGCTCAATCGACTATCATCTGCTAATTCAATGAATAACGCAATATTACATACCAGGCAGATAGCGTCCAGCCTGTCTCATAATCCATATCGGTGTTCGCTCGACTTGTTCGCCTGCACACGGAAATGTCAATTGTACGGTTAGGCAATGAACGACAGAGCGCTCCTGTCAGAAGTGAATCCACTTGAGTGTTGACTTACCTCTCGCTGCGCGTAGAAGCAGGTCATTTTTAAGAGGTGGAAATTGGTGGGCCATGTTGTTTTTACGAAGAGTCGTTTGAGCCTTCTGGAAAACAAATAATATCGGGCAAAATTTCACAGTCGCTCTTTCCCCCATCGAGGCACACCGATCTGGCAGCCAGTGGTGTTTGAAAATAACAACCTCCCAATTTCTTGAGCGGTTTACCTTGCGATTCGCTTTGATACTTTGTGCAGTTGCTGAATATTCCAAAGTCATCAAATTCAAGTGAAATTGCGAATGAATTGGACTGGAAGTATCAACACCAATGTAAGAAGCAGGAAGTCCAAAGACAGACAAGCCCAGAAAGATTTCTTTAATCGCCAACGCCTTCGTAAGAACAAATGCTAGAGCCTGTCACCTACTATCTCATATTTAACGATCATATGATTAAAGTGAGAGCTCAAAAGTCATATATAGAATCCAATGCCGAAATGAGAGTAAACGATGCCTTGGCAAGGGCTGTACATTTGACAACGTCTAGTCAGAGAAATAATCAAAAATATACGGGATACAAGAAACTTGATCAACGAGTCTCAGACTTTCAAAAAGCTGCGCTGCTGCAAAAGTGTTACCAAATCAATGAACAAGAGAACAAGTTGGATCAATCAGGAACAGTAGATAAACTTCTTTCAGATGCTTCAAAAATATGTGGGCATTCAACCAATGCCGCATCGTCCACTGCATATTCAAGCAGCATTCATACTCCATACGACCCATTATTTGACTTCGAAACAACAACCAACAGCACTTCATTATCAGGTAGTATGGATTACTGAGAACCATACTGTCAACTGGAATATACTAAAGCTGCTATCTCTTTTATTTCAATGCAGGGTGTGCAAGCCAAGCAAAAGTTCCTCTCGATGCCTCGACCTTCCATGGTCAGTCGCAGGTGAGATAAACAGTGGTACCTTCTGTTTGCTAGAAAATTGACCGCAGCATTTTTTATATCAGTATATCTTCAAACACGGAGAGAGTTTCCATACTCAAAGTGAGTATGTTGGAGTCTTTAATGCATAAAAACAAGCTATATATCTTTTAAATGTAAACAGGTAGACATCTTCAGTTTGACGGGTGTTCAGCTGGGTATGAGTCAGATGATCATATTACTTCGGAGGACGACTATCATTTGCAGAAAAGCTTACCGCCAGCAATAGGCCCAACCGATTGGCAACAATGGAAGAATGGCAGAGACACACGAAATGGCAATTCAACAAATATGAATGAAGTAGGCTCTTTGAGCACATGCGAAAGCTCTCAAAGATTTCCAGTTAGCTTAAGCGTTTCTAGCCTCGATGAAGGTGTCCTATTTTCTTCACTGTAAAGGGCGATGTATGCAATTGCAGAAATATGCGCAACGGCTGTTTCAAAGGGTCTTTTTAATAAAGCATATAAATAATCAGGCGCTGCTCCCGAATATCATCTCGCTCAAATGTCAGTAAATCGGGTTCTCACTTTTGATAACAGCTGGGATCAACAACAAGTTAAGAGAAAACAGACTTTTGGAAGCAATGGTAGGCCAGTCAGCTGTGCTGGACATGAGGAAAGTACAGAAATGCTAACGGGCAACTTAAATGTATGTTGTATTGACGAATGCGTTTTATTTTGAGATAATTGCCAGTGTGTGACAACTCGAGTTTTGTCACATGAAACAATGGCCCAGCGAATGTTGCAAAATGGGTTTCATGCAATCTTCTTTACACATCTTGAAACACAATAAAATATTGCCTACTGGGCTCTTGGCTACCGGTCAAGATATACACATTGTGCCACAAGAAGCCAATTATTTTTCTAAATGATTAATAAATTACCAACATGCAGTCGAATTAAAGCTGGCATATCTCGGCTTGTCTGTAAGTTTGAACCTGTTGGAAAGATCCAAGATTTATAATTGCTTGTCAGTTGACCTCACATACTCGGTATGTTTCCCTTTCGAAGTAATCACAGTGAAAAAGCATAGGCTGTTGTTTTAGACAACAGAGAGTCTGGAGATGCCTGTTACACACATATCAAATATTTACGTACCAACTGACTCATTCCGGCTCGCCTTACGTTAAGAAGCGAAAGGTATTCGCCGTGTCTTTATTTTAAAGGGGTGAGGTGACCTCCTTTTAGCAGATAGATTGGCACGATTGGGCATTTCCAAATACATATCTGAGTGAGCACACCCGCTTCCTAATATGTCATTCACATAGTTTTAGGTACCGGATAAAGGAATGAGCGATACTGGATCAAATGGATGGAAAAAAGTGAACGTCCAAACATGAATCAAGAGTAAAGTTATCCGTATGCAAGAGATGTTCATCAATCTTGATTCAAAACCATGTGTCCATAGTCTGACGTCTTTGACAAATGTTTTACATGGTAATGGAAGCAATGGTTTTTGGCGCGCAATTCTCGATTGGTACACAGTAAAGGATACATCATAGTTCCCATAATGGCAAATGTTTGTTTGGAAGAGGTTCGCTGCAGTTCAAAAGTGGGGCGCAGACAAAAGTCGACTCTTTTGGTAAACTGGCCAAAAACCGCTTGAAGTGGTGGTAATGCTGAGCAAAAAATAAAATATCAATAACCAAGCTAATAAAAAACAATATACCGCAATACATGTCAGCAGAGTAAAGAGTAGGTCACCTTCTCAATCGTTTACCTCTTTACTCACTACTCTTCCTTTTTCTTTGATTTCATCTTTCTCCATTCTTGCTATACAAATTCGGAAGGGGAAATACAATTTATACATTTGAAACAAGAAAAAATGGGCAACTCCTACTCAGGTGCGACGGAATTTTCGATTGATGTTGCGGAACAATGGCTACAACACTAATGACTAAGTCATCATGATACCGTCTCGTCTCACATTTTTTTTTAGATATGTATGGCTATCCAAGCACGTATGGACAGTGGAGTCCTAACCGGAGAGGCTACTTGCAACATTTGCATAACGGGTCGCCTCTGCCTCCACCATATGGACACCCAGGCATATATGATACAGGTTACTACGACACAACACCGTATTACATGGACTATAACACAATGACTTCGCCGTATCCTGGAGCAATGTACAGTGAACATTATATACCCCAACAGTGGGGATCTCATCATTATGGCCAACCCTATTATCGGGGAGGACTACTTAGCTCCTTATTTGGATATCCAGGCAGACGTAGTCGGTCTTCCTTATACTCCCATTTGAACCGTGATCAATTTCAAGAAGAACAGCTTCGGCAGTTGAGAAGACAGACCGATAGTATTATACATAAATCTAATGGAAGAAGCAGTAGTAATAATCACCGTCGACACGACGACAATAAGAAACGATGATGCTTATATAAAATTTATTTTTTTGGTTCTAAAAGATTTTCGCCTGAGTTCTACCACTTAGTCGGGTTCCTAAATTGGAGCAACATTCGTTTCTAAAAAAAAAATTTTAGACCAACTGGGCAGGCACAGGTTCGTTCATCATCTTTCACCACAAATCCGATGTCGAGTTTGCCATTCACTTCAAGGTCATCTCAACCTTCTAATGGGCTAATGGATTCTAGCATGGCTTGGCTTGCCCTCTACTTTATTCTCAACTTGGCATTGACTTTATACAACAAGATTATTTTGTCACTCTTTCAATTCCCATTTCCCTGGACCTTGACCGCCATCCATACCCTGTGTGGAGCCATCGGCTCATACTTGTTTTGGTCCTGGGGAATCTTCACTCCCGCTAAACTTGGTGAACGGGAAAACATGGTTATGCTCATGTTTTCTGTCCTCTACACTATCAATATCGCCATCAGCAACGTATCCTTGTAAGTGTGGGCGATCCTTTCATTATCTCGAAAAATAGATAATATTTGATATTCGGGGCGGAGACCAATTGCCCTGATGAACCCAGAAATTATTAAATGGTGTCACTGACTATCCTTCTTGTTCTTCGAAAATCATAGAAACTTGGTGACAGTTCCCGTAAGTACATACCACCGGTTATCGAAGGAAGTTGGAGGGACACAACAATAACAACAACATGCGCCTCCACAAAAATTCCGTATTCATCCCCACTCACGTCTTTTTTTATCCTCCTGAACAGTTTCACCAAGTAGTTAGAGCTATGACTCCGGTCTTCACCATCATTTTGTCCGTTTCCTTCTTACAAAAGAAGTACTCCGGAATGACCTATCTTTCCCTACTTCCGGTAAGTGGATCGTTTGTTTTCCGATCGTCACTGATTACCAAAAGCTTACACCGACGCCATCGTTTATAGGTTGTGGCTGGTGTTGCCTTTGCAACGTTTGGAGATTACGATTATACAGCTATGGGTTTCTTTTTAACTGTGCTTGGTACGGTTCTTGCTGCTGTCAAGACCGTTGTCACCAACCGTGTTCAAGTGGGTCGCCTGAAGCTTCACCCACTCGATCTGTTGTTGCGCATGTCTCCTTTGGCGTTTCTTCAAACCCTAGTCTATTCTTATGTCACCGGAGAAATGGCTCAAGTTCAAGCTTTTGTGAGCACTAGCTTTTCATGGAATTTGTTTTTTGCTCTGGTTGCAAACGGTATCATTGCCTTCTTCTTGAATGTTGTTTCTTTCACTGCCAACAAGAAAACCAGTGCTTTGACCATGACCGTTGCTGGTAATGTGAAACAAGTTCTCTCCATTATCCTTGCCGTCATTATCTTCAAGCTTAATATTACCCTAACCAACGCTGCCGGAATCATGTTGACCCTAATCGGCGGTGTTTGGTATACGTAAGTGGATATTTTGATTGATGTTTAGCATTCATGTTTGAAAACAGTTTAACTAACTGGGGCCATCAGTAATGTGGAAATGGCAGAAAGGGCCAAACGGGAGAAGTCGTCGTTATCCAACGACTCATTGTTGGGCACATCCGTCTCACCTGACGAGATGGTCAGTATCAAGACGCAGCGGTAAAGGATCGATAATCATTTTTGCACATTGTTTTTATCAGTTTGTCATAACACCACCGGATCCTCCATCCAACCGCCAATCCCGCATTTTTATTTTTTTTCCTTGCTCTTGTTCACTTCCTCTTAATGCCCCCGCTCCCACGTCTTTCTGACCTCTACTACCCCTTCCCCCCCCGTGTATTCATAGCATTATACCATAGCTCATAGAGGGCACATGAAGTTTCCCACCTTTTTCTTTGAGAATTGCTATTGTCTTCTTCCTCCATGCAAACAGACAAACTTGCCCGACTTCAATATAGAGAATTTTTTTTATCCCCATCTCGGCTTCTTTAAAGTACGACATGAAAATGTGTAATTTGCCTTCACTTGCAACTTTGGGCTAGCCAATCTGCCAGCGCTAAACATGTGCAGCTCTCTATTGGCAGACGTTGTGAGCGTAACTGGTATGCGTCAAAAGTTTGTGTTTATGGGAAAAGGCAATTAAGGAATAACATTGATATGTGTTGGTTGCGATCGGTTATGGGAAAAATGGGGCAAAGGGACGACCAAAATGGATGGAGACAAAAGGAACAAAGAAATGAACTAATTGAAGCTTCTACCAGCGTACATAGCCTCAATCTCACTGGCGAACTTCTTCTTGGCAACTTCACGCTTAAGCTTGAAAGTGGGGGTCAAAAGGTCGTTGTCAACAGTGAACTCATCAGCAGTCAAGTAGATCTTCTTGACTTGTTCGAAGCCCTTGAGACCGTTCTGCTTGCCAAATGCTCCCATTGCACTCAAGACGTCCTTGTTCACTGCTGCATCACCACAAAGCTCTTCGAATGATTTATCAGAGTACTCTGGCTTGGCCTTAGCCCACTTGAGAAGCTCGTCCTTATCAGGGTGGATGATACCGACCAATGTTGATTGCAAAGAATCACCATAGACGAAGGCTTGAGCGATCAACTCGTGCTTCTGGTAAACACCCTCGATCTTCTCAGGCGCAATATATTCACCCTAGAATAAAATGTTAGCGTGCACTGTCGATTTGGGGTTAACAAATAGGGCAATTCGTACCTGAGACAGCTTGAAGATGTTCTTCAGACGATCGATGATAGCAAGACGACCACACTCATCAAAAAGACCGATATCTCCAGTGTGCAACCAGCCATCTTCATCAAGGGTCTCCGCAGTCTTTTCAGGGTTCTTGTAGTACTCCCTCATGACGGAGTTACCACGAATACAAATCTAGAAATTCCGTAATGTCAGTGCCCTGTTGCCTGAGTGGAAGCCATGGAAAAAAAAACCATGATGTCTCAAATAACTCACCTCTCCACGAGGGAAGGGTTGATCCTTGGAGGTATACTCCATATCAGGCACGTCAACGAGCTTGATTTCAGAGCAAGGGAAGGGAATACCGACAACACCAGTAGTGTTGTCTTTGCTAACAGTCTGCAAGATTTTTAGTGAGTACTTCCATGAACTTGTATCAGTGATCATGAATCTTCAGTCTTACCAAACAACTGCCGCAGAAGTTCTCAGTCTGACCATATCCTTCATAAACATCGGCAGAGAAACAGATTCTCATAAAGTCCATGACGTCGGGAGACACAGGGGCACTTCCGCTCAAGATGAAACGAATACGTCCACCGAGGCGTTGGCGAATCTAGAAGTGGTATATGACGTTAGGAACACAGTTTTTTAAAAATATTCCACCCCGTATACAATACTTGCCGTGCCGAAGACAAGGCGATCCCACAACCAGTGCTTGGTAGTGCTCTTGAGGTTGGCCTTCTTAGCTTCATAGGCCATGAAGAACAACGCAGCGGCCACGCCTCCCTTACTCTTGACACCAGACAATACTCTGTCGTAAATACGGTTGAATAGACGAGGGACGGAGCAGAAGACTGTGGGCTTCAGTTCGACGATATCATCCAAAAGTTTAGCGGTATCGCCCTAAAAAACAAAGGATAGAGAAAAATTCATAAGGCACGATGTAAATAAAAATCAGAATTATTTTGGTACGCAGTACAATACCTGATAATAACCAAGAGCACCACCAGTGTATACAAACAGACCTTGAGCAGCTCGTTCGAACACGTGGGCCAATGGCAGGTAGGAAATATAACAATCGGTGTAGTCAACCTTGGCAAATGTATTGGCGTCACCAACTGCTACGATACTGTAAATGACAGCAACGGATTGAGCTTGTGTAATGACAGCACCCTTTGGAGCGCCAGTCGTACCACTGAGAAGAGAATGGAAATACCGAGTCGGATAAAGAAAAGATGAGTACGGGAGGACATAAATTACAGCATCTTCCCAGTCCAAAAAAGTACCTGGTGTAACAAATGGTTGCAATGTCTTGAGGAGAGGGAAGATCATTCTCTTCAGCAGCATCCTCACCAAGCTTCTCGACTTCAGTGAAAGTTTGAAGCTCAATACCAGCAGCCTTAGCAGCTTCACGGTCACTGGCAATTTCATAGTCATCCATGACAATGATGTACTTAATAGTAGGAAGAATGTTCTTCAGGCCGATTAGACGCTTGACTTTATCGGATGTAGCCACAATGTACTTCATTTCAGTTTGATTGACGATATATTCAATAGCTTCCTCGCCAAGCGTGTCATAAAGGGCGACAATGATGAATGCTTTACGATAACAGGCTTGTTCAGTCATGGTCTATAAATGAAGTGGACCATCATCAGCCATGTCGCTGAGTTGATTTTTTAGGTCATAGTAATAAGCACTCACCCATTCAGGACGGTTGACACCATAAACACCAAGTGACTCTTGACGACCGAGGCCCAATTTTTGCAACCCCTTGGCGTAATTTTCGATGCGGCGCTTTACAGCATTGTGAGATTGCCATTCATACGGTTGGGCTACGCCATTGAGTATGGGACGCACACCCAAAAAGTCCCTATCTAAGAGTAAAGGTAAGGCGACGGCTCACTCAAAATTGATATAACAGAAACTTGGATATTCAATATTGTGTTTGTAATTTACCTCCAGCAATTTTATTTCCATGGCAGAACACGTCCCACATGGTGGTCACATCGTCTGGATGAGAGACCAAGGCATCAGCGAATTTGAAATGTCTTCTTGGGAGGGTTTCTCCGTCCTTCTGGACTGCTCCTGGGACGTTAACGGTAAACTGTTGAGGAGCTGACATAAATAACGAAAAGAGAGAAAAGTGAAGATTTGCTGGGGTAAAGGTATTTTTTTATTCTATAGTCAGATTTGGGGGGGTTGACGAAAATCTATGACCATAAGGTCACGGCCTCGGTACCTCAATTTTCCCCCAAAATTTTGTCCTGGCGCACTTTTTTCCACACTTCATCGCTTGATATTCACTTGGCCATCACGAAGTTCTGTTTTCAGTCCAATCTCCTCTAAAACTGGATGTGGTACAGTTTCTTGCGGGCTCAACTGCTCGACAATAGCTTGGTTTTCTAGGTTGTTTTCCAGGAGGTTACGCATGGCGAGAACAGCATGTTCTTTTACGTCTATGGGGAAAAAAGAATTTCGAGTCCGTCAGCCAGCATCCACAATGAGAAACACTACGCCAACGAATTCTTTGCAATGAGATTTTTTTTCTTACATGGATTGGCATCATCGATATTGCACTGACTAAGAACAAGACCAATACCTCCAAGCTCTCGGACCTATTCCAGAATCAGATAATATCGTAAGCTTTTTTTTGTTTAAAAAAAAAAACCAGGCTATCTTTGTACAATAACCATGAATAAGCAATTTCTCCCTTCTGTAACGTACCTCATCTTGCAGTCGCCGATCATGGTAAGTCAGCGCACCAATTAGTCTTACAATATCTCTCTTGATGTACATGAATCCCATGCTGCCTTTGCTTGTATCCGTATCACTAACAATATCTCCCATCGACTTCGTGATGCGTGGGATCTTACGTTCGGCTTGTGCCAGCAAATCTATATTTGTAATGTAAGTGGGGTGTGTGTGGTAACCTTACTTTTGTCTCTCGGTGTTACCCCAAGTAGAACTTTCCATGGTCAAAATTGCCCTTACCCAAACTGGCCTTGAGACAACCACTGCTGATCAATACATTTTTGAGTTCTTTACTACACCTGGAATCCACAATGGCAGTACCAAGCATCTGCAGTAGTAAAATGACGCCGGTATATGCGTTGGCTGTATCCTCAACCGTCATTCGCACGTTGTCTTGATCGTCACTCGATGCATCTGGCTCGGTCACATTCTTCTCCACACCAGTGTCACCTGATCCCAGAGCTGACGTTGAGACGTTGGGTAACTTACGCAAAGCTTCCACCGCTAGGGCACATGTATCTCGCAGAGTGATGATCAGCAGTTTTTCATCTGACTCATTGAGGCTTATGCGAGACTGATGCCGATGTAGGGCTGAATCGTATAACTTGAGTAAAATGGTCTGGTTACTGGTCAGTGCCGCTCTATTCACAGATTATTAATTTGTGGGGTAAACCAGCTGACTTGCGTTTCTCTGGACATATGCTCCACTCACCCGCCATTTGACTCAAACCTCTTGAATGCTTTTGAGAACAACCCGTTCTCAACCAGTTGCTCAAATATAGCAAATCTATAATTGGGTTAGTATTTACAGTCATTTCCGTTAACACGTTTTCGAAGTTTTACTGTCTGTGCTCAGCTTACATTAATTCAAAGTTTTGGGTGTTTTGATCGTCAAGCACGAGTTCTGCATTCTTTAAAAGACAGTTGAGAATCACTTTTCCTGTTTGGGATTCTATCAACATACGGCTTTCATAGAGAAGTTTCGTTGGGTTAAAACGTTGTTTTGTACGACGTGCTTGACAATATAAACTTTCAGCTTTTACCATCGCCCACTATCGTTCCTTATGCAATTAAAAATTAAAACGAGAGTGCTCATAAGAGTTATGTCATCGCTTGTCAAAAGCATCTTTCTAATTTGGAAAAAACGTTTATACAACAGTGAGAAGGCTGCCGAACTTGACTAGTTTCATCTTAACATTTCAAGATTACAAAAAAATAAAGTTATCCACTTACGTGAACAAGGCGGAATATCCACTGTCATTCATCCAAACCGTCCATAATATGCTTTGTTGCTTTGGATTGCCTGTCACCATATTGCATAGTGCTTGCACTCCCATCCGGGTGACTGGCCGATCTATCGTTGCTCGAAATTAGACTTTTGCTTTGACTCACATCAATTCTTCCCTTCCTTCGATCGCTTACTCTCTGGTATGTTTTCCAATAAGCACCACGCCAACATATTTTCTATATGACTAGAAATGCCACTAGCTCTAAGATTGAAAATAAACATGAATACATGGTTTGTTGCTGCATATTGATCGTAGCGAAGATTTGTCTTACACGGCAGTAGCTTGATTATTTGCATCGTTCGCGACAATATTCCGCGCTAGACGAAGGTTATCCACCAAGAGGACTCTGATGGCTTCGTCGTCCTGGTCCTGAGCTAGCTCGTCTCTAAGATTGTCTATGCATTGGGAAATCTGTTGCCAGAATGGGGTATATAAGCCTAGCTCGGAACGAACGTCTGGATCGCTGATCACTTGAGTTGCGCATTTTTCTAAACATTCACTGAAAAGAGGGATAGAAACATTGGACCGGTCAGCCAAGAATTGTTGCTGAAGTTGTAATGTAAGCGATTTAATCGAAGTCATTGTAATGTCTAGCACTTGCTACAGCACTTCCGGTACTTTTTGCGAGGTCAAAAAAAAAATGTGACGGACTTTCTCGGTGGCTCCGTTACCAGAAGCCTTCCCAAAAAATATTAAACGTGTATGACCCAGCGTGCATTCAGCTGTATCTAGTTTTATATACGATTTACATTTTATAAGAGGATTGAAGCTATTAACATGATTAAAGTAGCATGGACAGCAAGATAAAAACTACTACTAGAAGAAGCTGCCGAAGTATATGTTATGCCAGCCGACTGAAGATATGCAGTTCCACACGTCTCATTGATGACTGTCAGTGCTTGACGCCACACTGTTATTATGGGCTCGGACTGGACAGTTGAATAGTTGGAATACAAGGAGAGGATCTTCGAATTACAATCATTGCACTGAAGTTTCATTTTGGTGTAGGTTGAATTAGGCATTGAACTGCCGACGGGCAAGTAATAAATCGAGGTACCTTGATTCATTGCTGTACAAATGTGTAAGTTTAGAAATATGGGAAGGGGGGGGAGACCTTCTTGCTCATCTTTCCCAAAACAACCTCAAAGTAATATAAACTTTGATTTAAACCATGCGATTGACTCACCTAGTGCTTGAGCATAGCAATATTGACCATTGGTATCCTGCAGACATCCTGCACTTTGCATAGGTTGATAACTCTCGAAATCGTAAAGTGTAGCTACAGCAATGGTATTATTGCTCTGAATATCGGCTCCGCAGTTTTTAGAATCGGTCATTTGTGAAGCATATTGTTTCATTAAAGATACACATTGATCAGAGGTCGTAGCGCATACACCTTGAAGGACAGGGGTTAAGGTTGAGCTATTTCTCGAAATTTGGTTGAATTGATTGCTTTTGGTCAATAAGAATCCAAAGGACGGGCATGCTTGAAAGGAGGTACTACTGAGGAAAGCCGTGAAAAAATTATCGCAGGACGAAGTCAGGCCATAGTTGTATCCAGTATCGAACGGCGTTGGTAAAGTAACATTTGCCAGCGCTGCCGTTATCAGCAAATTCCAGAATATAAACTCATAGGCTTTGATATGTCGCATAGGTGGAGCCAAGTGATGGCAAGGGAATATTAAAGGAGCGAGAGGTAAAAGATAGTAGAGAAAGGAAGGTAGTAGTTGGGGAAAAGAGACGCAAGATTCTAGACATTTTATTTTTTGTGTGCGTTTTTTTTTTTAGCCAGCGGCTCGTGCCAGGTTACCTCAACACTGGTTCGCCGACTGTAGTTCGCGATGGTGGCGCCGGCACACGTAGTGGACTCAGCCAAGAAGAAGTTCAGAAGCGTGGCGTTATTGACCAAGTTCCACGGATACGAGAGTTATTGTCGTGGAGTGCATAAAAGTTTGACCACACTTTTTATTGATTGACCACATAAAGTATCTTCGGGATCAGGCCATGACGAACACCTATTGTTCCACAAGGAATTTTTTTTTAGCTGTCTGGAGAGCTGCCCGAGATTCTAACTCTGTCATCAACTACCGACGAACATGGGAGGCGCAATATATATAATGGTGGAAGAGTTTTAGTATGAAGTAGCCATACCCTTACGTAACATTTGCTAGGTTCGCTCAATCGCTAGACAGTAAACTGCAGGTGTTCATTAAACCAGCTTGCAAAAGTGGCTTTGCGAGTTGGCCTTGTGGTACTTGGTTAATGTGTGGCTATGGTAGCAGAAACAATTTATATAAAGATGGCACGGAATACTGATCCTACTCACATATCATTGCGTCAATGATAGTTGTAGAAGATAATGGCAAAGGCTCTCCAGGTTTATTGTCATTAGTGCATTAAGCCACGTTTTACTTTCATTGTACAATGAAATGTAATTCAGTTTTTTATTGATTAGATCCATAACCGTTATATAAATGCTGTCTCTCTTTTAATATTTGATCTGCTAATGATATGACACATTTGAGCGAGACGATACACTACAGAAAATAGGAAAAAAAATGAAGATATCAACAGATAGTACATTGATACCATACCATGTAAACAATATAAGCTGCTCAAATTCAGATTCCCAAGTTGATTGTAGACTACAGTTGATTGACCAAAACTTCGGCGACCTGAGAGTTCGTTGCCTGATGGCAGTTTGATACAGCAAGAGGTCAAGAACCGTAGAAGCTCACGTGATTTCAGCCAAAGAAAAAATGACATCCAATCAGATTCAGCCTGTGCAAAATTTTCTAACAAAAATCTTACCCGCCACCCAAGTGTTTTTTCTCCCTCTTTCTTTCCTCCTCCGTTTCGGAAACAGATTCACATAGTCAACATGTCTCACGAAACCGTTTGGTTCTCCCGCCCTCGCAAGTACGGAAAGGGTTCTCGCCAGTGGTGAGTGAATCTTGCAACATTTGTGAGCAGATTGCAGATGTATGTGGTTACATTACCATTCGGGTGGCTTGGCTCCGCTAAGGTCCATGTCCACATCCTACCATCCACTGCAACTTGTTTTACTGCTATCAGTTACGCCTTTGCTACAAAGCATGTTTAAGTGTTTGAGTATATCCCGGGACGTCAATCCAACCAGACATGTCATGTATGGGAAGATTGGATGACTACTAGGAAAAGGCACTGAAAGCAATGGCAACCTGATAGAAATATAGTATTGTCCCCTGTTTTGCAATGCTAAATATATATATTTTTTTTTACTTTCATTCTCTAGCCGCGTCTGCGCTCACCAGGCTGGTCTCATCCGCAAGTACAACCTCAACATCTGCCGTCAGTGCTTCCGCGAGTATGCCAACGATATTGGCTTCCACAAGGTATGTTCATACCTGTACTGCTTTACTCACTACCTATGATACTGACATACTTCACCTCCTCTTCTACAGCTCCGTTAAGACGTTGATTGGCTGTGAAAGAAGCTCTTTTTGATAAGCTTTCTAATCCCATGTTTCTGAGGAACAGTAAAATGAAGAAGCATTTTTCATTTCTATCTGATGGTTTCTGTGGCTATTGCTTGTTCAAAATGTAGCCTTCCACAAAATCAATTTTAAAAGAATAAAACATTTTGTCAAAGCTACCTATTGTGATGTACAAATTGAATGCTTTGATACGCTTAAGGATTGTGTTCCATTCCAGATCAAGAAGGTCAGCAGCAGAAGCCTAATAATAATAGATGGCTGGGCCAATCTGCAGAAAAAAATATTTGTACACCTTGCTTTGCTTGCTTGTACAAACTTTCACTTATTACCTGCCATCTTTCCTTCCTTCCATTCTTTTCTCCACTCATAACCTTTATTGTTGGCTCACTTTAAGAAACTAGCTACTCTAATACCTGTTTCAAAAGTGACATCTCGCCATCGCCCACCATTAACGGACATTACGACGATAAAACTCTGCTGTTCCCCAGCCAGCCTCATCAGAGATCAATGGCATTCGACATCTCCAACGTAACCGGCAACCCCATCATTCTCCTATCTGGAGTGTTTGCTATGGTAATAAATGAATGCGACATGCATATCATGGTTTTTGGAAAAGTGGATATGCGCCGCTAACTAACTAACGCATACTGCTTCAAATCAGATTGGATGGTTTATCGCCTTTATTGCAGCATGTATCTTCCAAGGACTTGGAGGCTTCTGGTGGACAATCATATTCGAACTGTTAGTTCTCGGTGGCATCTTTTTTGTCATCGCAATCGATGCTTTCCCTCAATACCGTTTGGTGGTAAGTATCTGATTTGTCAATGGGAGGACTATTCCGTTGAACCGAACTCTTTGCGGTTGCCCCTGCGCAACGCGACTGAGGCTGATGTGGCGACGGAATTCAAAAAATTTTCTTCTTTGGGATATGGGACCTTTCTTCACCTTCTACGCAAATACTAAGTTATTGTTACCAATAGGTCCTATCATTCTTGAGCATTAGTATTGCTATGCTGACCTCATTTATTGGAAATTTCATTAACTCAAGTTCAAGTGCGGCTCAAGCTATTGGAGCCGGAGGTGTTTTTCTGATTATCGTTCAGGTACAGCTAACTAATTTTTTTTTTAATTGGATAGAGACCGACTTCGTACAACCATAGACTGATTACCTTCTAACCAAATATCTCTTATTTTCACAGTTTTCATGGGTGATTATTTTTGGCAGTGATGAAAACTCTGCTATCAATCGTTCGGTTTACGGCCTGCAGATCGCTTCCCGACCTCCACAACAAAACAACTTTAAGGCAGGATCAATCCCCTTAGGTTCATCGGTGTATGCACCATCTCACAACCAAGGCTCATTTGTAAATGCCCAAGAGTTCAGCCAGCCTGCACAGCCAATCATGATGCAGGCTTCTGCTCCGGTAATGAACTCTCCGCATGTCCCTCATATGGCCCAAGTACAAAGCACACTCCCTCCTTCATCGGTCGAGAACGTAGCCTCAAATAGTCAAGCTGCCATCGATAAGGTCACTGCATTGCATGCTTGTAAGGATCGCTCAAATTTTTGCTAAAAAAATATCTGTGGAATTAATTGTTACTCACTCATATCCACATAATGTGTCCACTTTAGATCAAGCCAATCCCGAAGATGCAACAGAGCTCTCCTTTGCTAAAGGAGAAGTGTTGGAGGTGCTGGATAAAAAAGGAAACTGGTGGCAAGCTAGAAAGCAGGATGGCTCTGAAGGAATTATTCCCAGCAATTACTTTGCAGCTTAAGTTTTTTACTAGGGATCAGCTCCTTTACCGAACTGTTTTACAACATCATAGCCCGTTAGACAAAGTGATTTGCATCTCACAAACCCATTTTTTACTTTATAATGTATAATTTTTTTTTGACACAGTAGATGCAACGTACTATTTTTTTTACAATTGGCCGAATATCGGAGAGGAGGGAAAGGGGGTGGATTGGGGGTTGTGTGTGTCGTAAAAGCGTTACTCTCTAGTCTTGTTTTTTAACCTTTTGAGGTTGTGGAATAAAGGCAACCACAGTAGCGGTAACAATAAGCATGCAAATTGAACCAAGTCCATAACACACTACAGGACCATAAGCCCAGTAGACTCCACAAGCAACCAAGGGACCAAATGCGCGACCCAGCTGGCCACGACTACGAAAAACTCCTAACGCTTGACCTTTCGCTAAGCGAGGATCACTGTCAATGCATTGCATACTTGCCAGACTGGTCAGGCAACTGACGACAGTGCCACTGGTGACAGCAAAGAAAAATGCTCCAGCATAGAGCAATGCCATGCTGTCCCGCGACAGAGCCAATATCGTAAACATCAAAAGTCCTAGCGTACAAGCAACGACGCCTTGCAGAATGATGTTCTTCTCCCCTACAGCATGTGCCTTCCGCCTAACATAACCTCCCTGGATAAGAGAAGACATGATGCCTATAAAGCCGAGGAGTCTTCCCTGTTGCATATTGGTATAATCAAAGATATCAAAGGTCAAGAAAACCAAAGTGAATTCCATGCCAGAGAAAATGAACAAGTGAAAGGCATGGATGGCATTTAAAATCCTTAAGTTTGCTAAGCGCTTCGAGATCTGCCCGGGGGTTTCAGCTTCTTGCTGGACTTTCTTCTCATCTGTTGTTTCCTTCTTTTGACGTGAGTTGAATGTCTCTGGTAAATAAGCCATGATGTAGAGCACTTCGACTGAGAGAAGGACGAGAGCGACCAGGGCAGGACTTGAGAAAGGATATACACCATATTCAACCAGGGCCGGGCTAATACGAGTAAGGTCATAGGATGCAAAGTACGCTCCCAGAGCAGGACCAATGGTAAAAGCAATGGCAAATGCTATACCCACCAATGCCTATGATGTCAATTTGGTTTAACGTTAACGGTCTAAGCCACAACCATTCAGTCTAAAGCCAACGCAAACCCACCAATCCCTTTGATCGATTCTGATCATCTGTGACGTCTGATATGATAGCAATACTAAGCTGAACATTGCCTTCGCTAAGACCGCCCACAATTCTTGCCCAGAGAAAGGCATCAAACGAACTTGCGAATACCCACAGGACCGTTGATATAAGATTTCCAATCTGGCCAAATTGTACACGTTAGCCGAGGCCATTCCCTTCATACACAGTCAACCAACGTAATCACCCTACCATGGTCAATAACAAAGTCTTTCGTCGCCCTATGCTATCGCTTATTTTACCGATATAAGGTGATACCAGGAATTGAAGAAACGAAAATAAGGAACCAACAAATCCTCCAAGAAGAACGAGGTCCCATTTATCCGTTAGAACATCATTGGTAGCTCTCGTGCTTGATATAAGATGCTTGTATTGGTTTACTACAGCTAATAAACGTCCTAGTATTGTAGACTTTGGACAGGGTCAGTTAGCAGTGGATTGAATAGTAAAACAATGGGCAACGAGACTTTGCTAACCTCATCTCCAGCCTCTTGTAATCGGTAGAATTGCAGTAATCTGGGCAGAAGTGGTAATATCACCGTGAATGCAAGTATGTCCAGCAAAAGCGCGGTGAAAACAACTCGAACGACTTTGGAATCCATCTATTGTCTCCAAATGCAAAGGGTAAGATCCAACGCTGTCCAGTAAGGCACAGTCACATTTTGGAGCATGAAAAAAGGGGGAAAATCTGACTTGCAGTCTCCTTACGGGAGGTACATTGCTACTGCTTCTTTTTCTACTTTCGTCCCAGATGTGCAGTCAATTACCTGCGTTGTTTAGGTAGGCACGGAATTACTTACTCGTATCACCGCTCCATGAAGCCATTTTGCCGAGGTTAGAATTTATTTACTTTTGGCAAGGCCTATTTTCACACTATTCTGGAGTTAATCTTATACCCGACTTTTGCTCTTCCACCTATTGAATAAAATTACAGTGCTGCCATGAATTATTTCAAAGTTGTTTTTTGTGGAGACTCGCGTTGTTTGCTGGAAGACGGAACGCAGTGCTGTGGCGTGGCATCAATTGTAAGCTGGTGCTGATAATGGTTCACTTTTGGGCAAAAGAACATGGATAAAACCTCTTCCATCTCCATAAACGCACCTCTGTATACGCCATCTTTCCGATTTTGATAACAAAGCACAAGAGAATTGATACACGAATTTCATTCAGACGATAGCGGACCTGATCAATTTTGCCTCAAATGGTAAATACAGTTTTCAGCTCAGATGATGTGTAATCCCTCGCCAATCGTTACGGTGCGGATCAGCAAACTATTAACCGTCAAGTCATCAAATGAACTCATTTTTGAGATTCAGCTTAACTGATAAGTGCAGACTTACTTTTACCCGACCACAATCCATTCGAAAAAGTGTTTGTAGCTTCTCACGCTATGTTATATCTCGTGCGAATATGTGTCCCATAACACTGGAATGTGGCCGAAAAAGAATATTTTCAATACATATTGAACATATAGATATTGTACAAGGAAATCATCAAGGTTTCATCTTGCTCAATTACATATAACATGGTCTAGTTGGAGTATTCAAACCGCATCAAAAACCAAATTGTGGCGTTCCAAGCATCATCACAGCAATCGATACTTGGCAAACTCACTTCTAACTAATTCCAAGTGGACATGGAATTTATTTATTTTAAGAAAAAGAAGAACTGAAGGCCCCACACTGCATTGCACTTACAGATAAACCACACGAATGTAAATACCTATTGCGCAAATATCGTTTGAGCATAGTCTTGTACAGATCATTTGTATTTTTTACAGCAATCGAACGTTTAACGATTTTCCACTATCTCGGACATAGCTGTAGTTCGACTTAAAAAGGACAATATATCCTTGAAAAGATCAAGTCCCGGCGGGTGGAAATTGGAACGATTTGGATAACTAAGTTGTGTCCGCCATATAAAGGCAAAATAAATTTCGAAACCCTCCAGAGGATATCGGGTTTCCCCTCTATCGATAGCATCTCAGAGCAGCCAAATCTTTGGGCTATACAGTAACCATGACCAACCAAATGCAAGAACCTGTCGAAAAGACACAAGATGTGATGACTGAAAACGAAGAGACAGCCACTCCAATGGCCAAACCCAATTTTACTGTTCTCATGTACCTTGCTGCCCTGCAACGTCGTCGCGAAGGTGTCAAGATCACCAACACTTTCTCTCATAATACCTCTGAGAAGAACGAGGGTGTCTATGGAAAGGATGGCGAAGATGTCGCTGTAACCGATGGCTACCATCCCGTTACCGGCTGGAATATCGATGCTGACAAGGCTGACGCACAGCGTGCGTTGAGAGTTGCAGGTTGGATGAGCGCGTTCTACCTCATTACTACCGATATTCTTGGTCCTACGAGTTGCCCTTGGGCTTTCTCTCAACTTGGTTATGTCCCTGGTATTCTTCTTTATTTCTTCATGGGTATTGCCGCTGCATATACTGGTTGGCAAATCTGGTACATGTACCTTGCTTTGGACAGTCATGAATATCCAGTTCGTACTTACAGTGATTTGGCTGGTGTCATCTTTGGCAAGACTGCTGAGCACGTTGTCAATGTCCTCCAATCTCTTCAACTTCTCTTCAACGTTGCTGTCATTATCCTCGGTAACGGCCAGGGTTTATCTCAAATTGCCAATGCCAGTGTCTGCTTCAGTGTTCTTGTTCTTGTCTGGGCTTTGGCAGGAATGTTTGTCGGTCAAATTCGTTCTCTTCAAAACTTTGGTTGGTTGGCAAACTCTGCTATTTGGATGAACTTGGTTGTTATCTTCATTACTATGGTATGTAAATAATATTTAATTCATATCATGACACCTGGACATTGCAAAATTAACGTATCTCTTGCAGGGTGTGGTTGCCCATTCAGCTCCTAACTATCTTGCGGCTGGTCTGCAAAACGGACAGACTGGTACCGCCATCGTGACAGGCGCATTCATTGACACTACCTTCAATCAGAAAATCGTCGGCATTATGCAAATTGTCTACTCTTATGGTGGCGCCATGATGTTTGTTAACTTTATGGCAGAAATGAGACGTCCATTTGACTTTATCAAGGGTATGGCTATGGCTCAAATTGTCATTTTTGTCTGGTAAGCAAAGCAATTTTTTTGGGTTGCCCTAAACAGAAACGTATCGTTGCTAATTGCTATGATACCTTCAGCTACGTTATGTACGGTATCTTCGTGTATTCTTACCAGGGTCAGTACACCATCAACCCTGCTAACCAAGGTATCTCCAACTATGGTTTCCAAACCGCTACCAATGTCCTCTCTCTTGTTTCTGCGTTGATCGCAGCTGGCCTGTACGGAAACGTTGGTCTCAAGATTGTATACCAAACTATCATTTTGGATCTCCTCAATGGACCTAAGATGGCTTCAGTTACTGGTCGTATTACATGGACCTTCCTTGTACTTGGCTATTGGGCCTTTGCTTTTGTTATTGCCAGTGCTATTCCACAATTCAGCAATATCTCGAGTTTGGTCGCTGCCGTTTGCATTCTGCAATTTACCTATACTTTCCCACCACTCCTCATGTTGGGATATGAAGTTCAACGTGATGCCATTTCGACCGAAGAGTACATTGATGAACAGACCGGCCAACCCGGACAGGTGCAAGATACCTGGTCTAGTTGGTCTCGCTGGAAGCGCGGACTTACCAAGCGCTGGTATGTCAAGCTTTTCAACTTCCTTTTCTTTTTGGCTGCCTTGGCTACTGCTTGTCTCGGTATGTACACAAGTGGAGAGGCCATCCAGGAAGGTTTCCAGTCCAGTGGTGCCGGTACATCGTTCACTTGTCAATCGCCTGTTGCTTAGATCATACTAGCTAAAAATCACTTCCTATGAAATTATGTAATTTTATTCATTATCTGAATGTTTCGTATGTTTATCAAATTCATTGAAATTGCTGGAATAACGTAAACGCAAGTAATTTATCTCTGTAACGGATGTGGATAAATTCGGATTTACAGCAAAGTGTGGTAGATGAAGAGAATTCGGCTTGGGACAACCGAAATTACAACGTGTTCAACAAATAATTAAGGTCTATGACAAGCTTCCTGCATGAACTTTATGACTTTTGCCAGTAGGTTTCAGCAGCTTTTTGACACCGGCCCTTATGTGTGTGAAAGGGCCCTTCATAATTGATATCAGTAAGCTCCATAAAGTTTGATACAGTATATTTTCTCAGCCTGTCTATTAGTCTCGTGAACTTGCACTTCCTCAACTGCCTTTTGCAGCAGCTTACAAGTAAAAAAAAATTATGTATGGCCATTTGACAACCATTACCACTCAGGAGAAGTCACCGTAAGTAAACAAGAAAAAGCGCCTTCGAGAGCCCGAGAAATTTCAGGTGTTCATGGGTACCTTGCAGCCCAGGCGAGTGGCAAAATATGTCATGATGCATTTGTTCTTTCTTTCACTATTGGTGTTAAGGCCACGAAATCACTAAGTAGGCTTTTAGTGATGATTTAAATTTGAATATTCATATTTATTGGTAATAAAACGATGGAAGGGGGGCACCGAGATGATGACCAGATTTGGGAAGTCTGGCAAACATCATCGGTTATAACTATGGCAAAAATTTTCACACAGAAAAAAGAAAAAGAGTATGGACAACGTATATACATATGAAGTCAAATCAGAGGCATGCAGTGATGCCAATGTTAGATATATACAGTATCCAGTGCTTTAAAGTCGGTTGCAACGCATGATTCCAGCCGCCATACGGGCATGGTCCAATCGATTCAGCTCCGAGTTATAGTCGGATGAAGCACTGGGTGAATAAGTAAGGTATGTAGACTTGCTACTTCTACGCTTGGATTGTTCAGTGACAGGATGGTTTTGAGTATCGGAAGAGACTGATTTGCGGCGGAAGACGTCAAACATGATGATTGAGGAAGAAAGTTGTATTCTGTTCAAACCAACTTGTCAGTTGGCGCCCCGTGAAAAACTGACTTTTGTTTCCCCACATTCGAGCGGGCACGTGATGCCTTCACCCGCTCAAATTAGGAAGGCGGAAAAATACGTACAAAATGTTTATGCGTACTGTCGTTCGCTTGGTTATACGGCCCCATTTTTCTACTTCTAGGATACACGCCAAAAACCATCTTGGTGGTAAAAAAAAATTATTACCACAATTATTGGCTGGTCATAGCAGTATTTGATACAAGCATCCTGTCACTTATACATTCATTTTCGGCCAAATAAGCCTGGCCATATACCTTATTTTGTATTCGAATAATTTTGGAAGACTTTGCTACCTAAGATCCAAAGTACATTTGTAACATCTTACTTCATTTATCTCCACTGTGGAACACAAAATGAACCTCTGTAGGCCATTACGTATTTGTACTATCATTTAAATAAGCTCAAAGCTGAAAAGCATGGGTTCCTATACTGTTAAAAGCTGCAAAAAGACACTTCATCTGCACGAATCCTTGGAGTGATCTGAGCGAATCCATGGTAATCAATATCATTATTTCACCTACCTATTCACTCGCGTAGGTCAAGATAAGTGGAAAGGCCAAGACAACAAAGAAAACCACGTGGCTAGCCAAACTGTACATCTGAGAGTTTGACCCAAAGTTTTCTACCAAAAGAGAAACATAAAGATGAGTAAGGCCCAATAATCATATGCTTTAAGCGTTCAGTCAATTTCACTGTGATTAGGTGGGGTTTCCAATTACGGTACAATTGTGCTGACGGTGACGGCTTTTTGAGCTGTGGCTAATATAAATTTTCCAAGTCCTAGCACTGGATATCAACATCTTTAACACAAATGGTATCAAATACGTATCAGCGCAAGCCTACTGTTGGCATCATAGGATCTGGGTAATGCATTCCTTCTCGCTGTAAACAGTCTCTAGACTCTTGGAAAACCTGTACGCTAACGGTGGATTTGCAATGTGGGTTTATCAATCAACAGATTCAGCGGTGTATGTGCTGCTGTCCAGCTCAAAGAGAAGCTTGGCATCAAGGCCACCATCATAGAAATGGAAGATGACATTGGTGGTACATGGAATGTTAACAAATACCCTGGTTGCGCCTGTGATGTTCCTTCTCATCTCTACTCTCTATCATTTTCCCCCAATCCAAGTATGATCTATGCACTGTTATGAAATAGGAAATATACATGTTATGACAAAAGCTAACGCTATCTCCATCATAGATTGGTCAGAGAATTACAGTTCACAACCTGAAATTTATGCTTATTTCAGATCAATTGGCAAAAAGTACGACATTTACGCACAAACTCGGTTTAAGACAAGAGCTGTGAATGCAACCTGGCTGGAGGATTCTCAACAATGGAAAGTAGAAGTAAGAGCCATCTTGAAATGGGATACCCAGGGCAACTATGAAGAAGGTCCAAGCGAATATCTTTATTTTGACATCATGTAAGTGCAGAGCCCTGCTTTAAGTCCCCAATGGAGGGACATGTAGATTCAGATGCGAACATGTTGAACTCATTTCCACCATCATTAGCTATGGGGCCATTGGACCATTCGGTGTGCCTCACTTCCCTGAACTCTATGACAACTTCAAGGGCAGGGTCGTTCATACTGCTAAATGGGACATATCTTTGGAAGAATTGACTAACAAGAGAGTTGCTGTGGTTGGCAGTGGATCTAGGTACGAATGTTTCCGTAATTTTTTTTACCCCAAATATGAAACGCACTTGCTAAATTAAGCCAACATTATGTTCATCCATCCCTTTTATAGTGGCATCCAAGTCATTCCCAAGGTAGCACCTTATGCAAAGTCCCTGGTCAGCTACCAACGTACTCCAGCTTGGGTTATGCCACGCCGGCAGTTCAAATATTCATCATGGGTCAAAAAGTTATTTACCTGGTTCCCGATTATCATGTGGTTGCACAGATGTAGCATTTACGTTCTGGTGAGTTACAACTGCCATTCATTACCGATCTTTTGTTGCGCCAGTACTCACAGTTATTGCTCAGAACGAATTAAGAATCGTCGGATTCGTGTATTATAATATCGTTGGTCCCATTTTCAAGACTGTATTGTCATATCACATGGGACAGGTTCTCAAGAAGCGTGGCCGAAAAGATCTTATCCCTAAGGTTATTCCTAAATATTCCCCTGGATGCAAGCGTATTACCATGTCAGAGAACTACTTGGAAACCCTTGCGCAAGATAATGTGCATGTCATCAATGAAAAGATCGTTCAAGTCGATGGAAACAAACTCATAACTTCTACTGGAGAAACTCACGAAGTCGATGTTCTTGTGCTTGCTACTGGTTATAAAGTACAAGAATTCTTGGGACATTTCGATGGTAAGTCAATTTCAACGAGCACGCCTTTTTGTTGCGCAAAAAACTAAACATAACCATTATTTTCATAGCCTATGGCAAAAATGGCACATCTCTCAAGTCCTTGTGGCGAGGTGAATTCCCAAAGACGCTCCATGGTATTTCCGCCGCTGGATTCCCCAACTGCTTCTTCTTGCTTGGTCCTAACACCGGCCTTGGCCACAACAGTGTTGTCACTATGATTGAAATGTAAGTACTTTGTTTATTTGTATCTGGTATAGTAGGCATACGCATCTCACACAATCTTGTATCGTACAGTCAAACACAATATACTATTAAATGCATTGAATATATGATGAAGAAAAATATCGCTTCATTGGATGTAAAGGAAGCAGTACAAGAAAAATGGGTCAAGCGTCTTCAAAAGGATCTGAAACAAACTGTCTGGGCTGGCCAATGCGACAGTTGGTACATGAACTCTGCAGGACACATCACTGCTCTTTGGAGTGGAAGTGTTACAAGCTACTGGTGGAAGACCCGCAATCCTGACATGTCAGCCTTTAATGCAGTTGGCTATATTGACAAGAAACACTCGTTGTAATATTATACAAACTCTGTAGACATAATACTACTAAATCAAATCAAATATTAACAATAATATTAACAATATATAAAGCTTTTTTATTATTTGCTCTCTGTAAAAAGGCTATCGTTTTGAATCGCACAGTAACATCATTCTCTTGCAGCGATGAAAATTGGGTTTCGACCATGCCAGAGGTCTCATCAGATGGCTTTGGCAACCATGACCCAAATTCGATTTCATGACGATGCATATTGTGCAAAAGCACTTTGAAGCTAACCTACCTTGAAGACACAACAAAGTAATTCAATTATCTCAGGAACAAAAAAATATTCGGTCCATACTTCTAACACATTCATCATCATCAGATGATGGCTCAATGAACTTGAGCGATATAATCGTCAGACATTGTGATTTAGGCAAATTGCCAGGGCTGCATTGTCATCACGCCCGTGGGTTTTGGTTTATGGAATATAAATGTAGATAAGGAAAAAGGTGGAATGGAAGAAGGCTATTTACAAACGTAGAAGGGAAAGGGGAGTTCAAACCATGAAGGCAGTAGGCACTTATTCCTCGTCATCCTCTTCTTCATCTTCACCTTGGTTGATATTGTAGTACTTGAGAAGGTAAGTCTGCTTGTCAGAGGCAATGACACGGAGCCAGTCACGAAGTTGGTGCTTCTTGAGGAAACGCTTGGTAAGGTACTTGAGGTATCTCTTGGAGAAGTGGATGGAAGCAGTTACAGTGATCTTGTCGTTGGCACGGACAATCTTGACTTGGTCCTCAAGGTTGTTGGTACGGCCATTGACCTTGATGTGATCATGAAGATACTTCTCATAGGCAGCGACATCAAAGATCTTGTCAGAGGCAGGACCAGAGCAGTCGATGACAAACTTGCGAGTCTCAGACTTCTTGGTAGCGGATCCAGTCTTGGTAACGGCCATGTTATTTAGTGTAACTGAGGAAAAGAGGAAGGAAAATTTTTTTCTCTTGTTTGGATTTGCTTAAATCCCTTCTCCATTTGTCCCAGCCACCCAAATCACGTGCTTGCGTCCTTGTGTTTTCTGAATTTTTTCGATCACTTCAGTAAAGAATAGCCTGGCTAATTGAGGAATCTTGGTTCAAATCTTGCCAATGTCATTCATAAAACAGCTAGGTTTAGCATCACGACTGCCAGCTACCGTGGCAAGGGTAACTAGCCTTTCCTATTTATACTCCAAGCATCACTTTCTATCTTTCCATTCCACTAACTCTCATCGTTACCTCTAGCCTTTGCTCGCACCACAACAGAGGTTAATGGCCAGCTATGCCACTGAAAGTACGTTAGCAGCATTCCAATGGCAACATGGACTAAGAAACAGTATATATTAACCCAAAATCCATTTACTTTTATGCAGCTCCCGCCACCCCTTTTACACAACCTGTCCAGTCGTTCCTGCGCAAATTTGATACCAACGAACCACTGTCCATCATAGAGCTTGAGCGTAGTGTATTTGGAGCACCTATCCGACGAGATATCTTGCAACGTGTTGTTGTTTGGCAAAGAGATAATTTGCGTCAAGGAACACAATCAACTAAAGGACGTGCAGATGTTCGGGGTACAAGTAAGAAGGGAGCGCAACAGAAAGGTCGCGGTAAAGCTCGTGTTGGTAGTATGCGAGCACCTCATTTCCGAGGAGGTAAGGCAGATCATATCAAAGAGTAAGAGAAACACTTCTTGTGAATTAAACAATTACCAATTTGTTTTTACAAGGTGGTATTGCATTCGGACCTAAGCCTAGGGACCACTCTACCGATTTGCCAAACAAGGTTCAATTGATGGGACTTCGAGTTGCTTTGAGCGCCAAGTACGCACAAGATCAATTAGTTGTGGTTGATAGTCTTCAAGCTCTCAAAACCCCCAAGACCAAGGAGCTTCAGCGCATCTTGGATACTGCCCATGCTGATAACTCATCCATCTTAATCATGGCTAACGAGCCGGATGCGAAGCTCGAAATGGCAGCAGGTAATCTGTCACGATGTGGAGTTTTGGGTCTTGATGAGATTAATGTTCTCAGCCTGCTCAAGTTCGACAAACTTATCATCGAGAAGGAAGCTCTAGATGAGTTGGAGGCCTTTCTTAAACACTAAAAAATTTGTAGAATAATGATTTCCAGAAAGATGTAACAAACATAAAATTAAAATAAATAAAATAGAGCATTCCAGTAATCAACGGTTGCTAGGGTTTTTGTCATGAGTGTTCGAGAGTGATCTTGTACAGTGACTATTATAGCTGGCACATCTTCAGACCACATAATCAAAAAAATAGAAAGCGATGTGGTTTAAAGTCACGTGATGTAGACGTCAGCAAACTAGGTCCAGCACAAAGAACACCACAACAGTCAAGCTCCACTTTTGCAAAAAGCTACTCTAATTTCCCCTCACTTTATAGACGGCACGCATTTAATATGGCTTCTGGATTCGGTTATAACGGTGGTATGTTATCCATCTCAGCTTTTTATTTTAGCCAAATGGATAGACGTATCAGCTATGCACCACAACGATGACATGTTGGGGTGTTGTTGTTTCATTAGTCCTAACATGGCTACTTCATCTATGCGACTCTTCAACATGGGCATTTTACTGATCTCCAATATCGTGTCCGAAACTAGGTCGAGGCAGATGCTTCAATTTCTGGCAAGAATTCAACAAATGCTATGCTATGGCCGATGCACCCCAAGACTGCATCGCACAACGTGATGATTACTTAGAATGCTTGCATCACACCAAAGAGGTGAGCACTCGGACGAGATTTTGTGCTTGGTGGCGAGAAGGAAAAGATAAGAAAGAGCAAAGCAACCATCAATTCAATTCAGCAAATCAAGCATCAATGACAGCACTACGCAAATTTTGTTCAATGTAGAAACGACCTGGTCATCAATTTTTTTTTTTTGGGCATACATATTTGGCTATGCTTCATACCGTCAGTCAGTCTAAACAATAGACAAGAAATAATCGATGACCCAACAGAACATGCTTCAAATGCCCAAGTTGGGTAATTATTTTGGTCAGACGGAAGAAAACCCGTTTTAACCTTCAGTTACGATTTATCTTTAGATTGCCCGCGCCACCCGCATCAAGGCCGAGGAACTCAAGCAGGCCGATAAGAAGCGAAAGGAGGAGGCAGAGGGCCGCAAAGCTGCTGATTCGGCTGCAAAGTCCAATTTACCAAAACTGAATATCATAGATGAGCAGGCAAAGCAACCTGAAGCTGTCAAGGCATAAAATAGCCAACTAAAACATCCCCCTTTTTCTTCTCTTACATAAAACTTACACAGAAATCAAAAACCAGCACAGTCGGACTGAAATTTCTCTATTGTATGATTTGATTGCCATTGAGATAAAAAAAAGATTTGACGTGAATGCCGTCATTGTCCTGTACTGGTTGGTAGTCGGAGAAAATAGGGGGAAAAACTTAACCAGCTTCGTTCGAGTCTGCTAAATAAGGCAATGGACGATTTGGTCATTACGACGTCTGCACATCTCAATGTTTCATCATTACCATTCGCCAAAAAATATATAAAGCGGATCAAATGCCATTTTACAGAACTTCATTAAAACACACAAACATGGGTTCTATACTTTCCTGCTTATCTGGGATCTGCTCCTCCATTGCAAGTCTACTTTCTGGTCTCGTCTCTGCCATCGCTGGCTTCTTTGAGATGATCATTGGTGCCATTACACGCTGTATTACTGGTATCTTCCACGCCATCGCAAGGTAAGAATCTGAACTTTTTTTGATCCTGATTCTCATGAACATTGTATTGATCAAATATCTTTTTATTTCAAATAGACTCTGCCCTTGTTGTTAAGCGGCGCCATGAGACGGGTCGGCAATGAACATGTAGTAACTTCATTGTAGCGACGTCTCATGGCAGAAAATCTTTATTCTTCTACTACCTATTACACTTAAAACATCTCTATGATGCCGTATTTATACGTGTACATAACTAAATCGATAATATGACTTGTTGATAAATTACTTTTACAAAGTATATTCCATTTTGCGAACGTTTTGTGAAATGTGTGTGGCATTACAGAAAAATGATGTGACTACGGAAGAAAGTTTTTTTTTGTTTCGCCAATTTTGAACATCTTTGTTCTGGAAAAATGACCACAACAAATTGTGAGCTTAATTGTCCAGGGCCACAACTATGGCGACAGTTTCATGACGAAGAATGTGATGTAAGGATGCACGCCACCACAGGTGACTATACGGAGAGAGGATAGAGTCAAGGGAAAGAGAGAAAGTAAAACCTAGAGATCATATTAGAGGTACCAAATCATTATGATACATGCCAAGAATGACGTTCATGGCATGATCATTTCCTCTTTGTAGCGCTTATAAGCCAGCACATTTGCTGTGAAGGGAAAAAATAAGGACGCAAAGTGGATGGAAAAGTAAAACCGCGGGTTTATTGTCATTATGATACATGCCAAGGACGATGATCATTTGTTACTTTGAACGCCCACAAGCAACACTGAAAGCCCAAACCATATTCACATAGAGAGCGCATTGAAGTTTGCAAATGTCATCTGAACAGCGAACATAGCTCTAATTTTCAATAAACCTGTCTTATGCCGGACCGTCATATTTTTTTTGATCTTGGCAATAAAATCGAAAACAACCAACCACTAGCTCTTAATGGAGTTATTAGCTTCGCCACCCTATGTAGGGAAACGACTGCCAGTTTACATTGAAATGATGGCCATTTTTGACACACCACAGGGTGAATTTATGCCTGCAAGTCACACTGTGGTTTTGCCACCCACCCAAATGCATGCGCATGAATGATTGCTAGGCACTTTGGATTGTTGTGTCTTTCTTCACGCTTGAAGGGAAGTGTTCACTCTGTGGTTGTTCTAAACCATCACTTTGAAAGCACGGCTTTCATATGCAGGGGTTCAGCCTATATCTTCATACCAGCATCTTATCACCACAAATTAATATCTCAAACGCAATCAATATTGATCTAAATACATGTTTTTGACATTGACTAAAACTTTTTATATATGCATTCTTTTAACAAATAAGTAGTTGCTTATTTCTTGCCAGCCTTGACGGCAGCCTTGGTGGCCTTGGTGGCCTTATCAACCTTCTCAACAGCCTTGATGACACCGACAGCGACAGTTTGACGCATATCACGGACAGCGAAACGACCAAGAGGAGGATAGTCAGTGTAAGCTTCGACGCACATGGGCTTGGAAGGAACCATCTTGACGATAGCGGAGTCACCGGACTTGACGAACTTGGGGTTGTCTTCGAGCTTCTTACCGGAACGACGATCGATCTTCTCAACGAGCTCAGCGAACTTGCAGGCAATGTGAGCAGTGTGGCAATCGAGGACTGG